TTTTAGGGGATGTTTGGTGTCTTTTATTTAATTAGTTGTTTTGATGAGTGAAACCCCCCCCCCCCCTTCAGTGTGTCTTTATGCCATTAACTATGTACTTTTTCAAAGGTCAAAAAGGTACTTTCAAGAACAACATTGGCTTATTTTTTTGAGCCCCTCCAAATCATGCTAACAAAAAATGCTGAAAATACCACAATAAGTTCTACTTTACTACTGACCATATTTAAATGCCACAGTTTGACTTCTGACAGATCGGAGCTTTAGTGTGACATCAGTTAAAGCTGCACTAGGTGATCTGCCAAAATGCTAACTGGTTAGCATAATATTTCAAATACAATCCCTCCCCTGCTGTCCAAAGCCACGCCTCCTGAAATCACCAACGCGCACATTAAAGATGACGGACCCACTACATCATGTCGCTCGCCAGTGAGAAAACTTGATAGTACTTTAAAAATACCACAATTCTGAACGAAAAACTGCATTATATCTAGCACGTTTTCAGTTAGCAAGCAAAACTGGTCATGATGTGCAATATTTCATGCATGCAAGGATCGCATGCAAATAAAGAGCCATCGGCCCTTAATTTTTGTCATGGAATTGTGTATTAGATTAGATTGTACGTTAGATCAACAGCACAGACTGAACTTATAGCACCAGGTTAAACTTTCTGACCCCTTTATGGTAATCAAATTGAAAATGAACACAGGCCACAACTGACCATTGAGGATGATCTCCAAAATTAAACCAATGGACTTGTCCTGAACACATGCTGTCCACCAGTCTCCTTGAGGTTAGGTTATTAATATTAAATTAAAGAAATGAACAAATGATTGTACAAACTATATAGCCCATGACTGTTAAGACTGTTGCACTTTTTGTGTTGGCAATATGCTCATGTTTATATAGGCCTATTGTTATGTGTGCAACATTTGTATATTTATAGCCACCTCTGAGAAATGTCAGGGTCACAATGGTTTGAAGAAAAGACTTAAAAAGTCATACACTTGAAATAGTGAGTGACACCTGCAGAAACCACGGTTGTGATGTTCCATTCCACTATAGACATGGTTACATCAAAACGAGTATTAAATATTAAGCCAAAAATATAAAACCGAATTATGTATACGCTACTATTTTTATAAAGTGATATGTGCAAATAAAAATACACACTTTTGTCTTTGCAGACTTTTCATCTTTGCATTAACTTGTGTTGTATTACAGTTTTTTTTCAGTCGCTTTGGTAAACTTCTCAGATTTGAAATTTGCTAAGCAGTAAGTGCATTTCTCAAAACAGCACATACAAATAGCCAAACAGCATGGATTACCTGCAAAGGCCAGTCTCTTGCTTAAAGTCCTTGGTTCATCTCTCAATGAACATGTCAGTGCCGTCAGAATGACAAGTCCTTGTGTCATTGTGTACGGATAAGACAGTCAAATTACTTACTCATGTTGTCAATGTAACAGCGTACTCTGGATGGACGTCCTCATGTAAGCTACGGCTAATTTATTTCATTTTTTTGCGGCTTGTAGTACTGTGATTCGTTGCCAGATCATGTCATTGTGATACAGAAATGAAAAGACAGCACTCCATAGGACAAAGAAAACAAAAAACAAACCCAAAACAAAAGTAGAAATGTGAACATAGGACAATCTCCTTTCAGATACACCTCACCTTCATTAGACAAAGTCCAGATTGACCTGGGAGCAATTTACCAATTATAAATTTAGAAAAAAAACGTCTAATGGAAATGTACAGAAAAATGCATTATGACTAAATATTATGACAACTTGTTCAACTTCTTTTATATATGATATATATGTCGACATTAACTTTTTTCTCACACCCCACTGGTCATTTTTACGAGACAAAATTTTGTTGTTGAAAACTGTAAATTTGACTTTTGCATCCAAAAAGTACTTGAGTAGGAGACATTTTACTCGATTTGGGTCATTAAAATAACTCTGACTACCAATATAGTGATATGGGTAGCCTATATCTGCTGTAGTAACTTAAGACCTACAGTAGTTTGACGAAAAAAAAAAAAAAAAAAAAAGACCAAAACAATACCCATTCTTGTCTTAAGGAAATTTTTATTGAGCAATTTTTTTGAAGAACAGTAAGTTCATGACATGTTAAATATATAGTATATTCTGCTGGTTTTAAACATACATACATAATAATAAATACAGTCATGTAACAACCATAACATTACCATTATGTCTTAGGACATCTTTGATTAACTTTTTACTACCTTCCCCAAATGTTGACTAATGAAGGTACATTTTTAACAACTATTTACTCGTTAGGCTACTTTATTGTCAAACCACGTTGCGTACAAATGCATTCAACAGACCTGTATGACAGTGTATTGCTGTGCATGACAAATAAAAACACGAGACACAGGTGTTTAGAAAGAGTAGTTTATTTTTAGCTTCAATTACAAAGAGCAACGCCGAGAGAACTGACAACACAGAGAGAATCGTCGAGCTTTATAGGAATGCATATGCAAATGTTTACATTGCGACGTCACTGCTGGGAGTTTCGTTGTCATGGTGAGTGCTGAAGAGAGCACAGCTCATTGGAGCAAACAGGCTCGGGAATCTCCGTCACGGCATGACGGCGAGTTGCGGTCGGTTGTGGACAAAAACATATTAAATATACTGAATAAATAAATATATAAATATAAATATATATATATATATATATATATATATATATATATATATATATATATATATATATATATATAAATATATATATTTACATTTTTGGTACTGTGTATTATTCTGGGATGCAGTAGAATATGGAGACAGATAAATATAATTAAAGACAGATGCGGGACATTAGAACAGAAAGTGAGCCCGGCTAGGCCACAGTGCTCTGACCAATGACTGACAAACTCCTAGTGGTGGTAAGCTTCTTTTTATCCAAAATCGCCATCCAGCGGTCACATAACCTAATAGCATGTTACGTGCAACCACCCCCCACGGCCAAAAGGTCCAGAATTTGTCCTTTTAATTATTTTATGTAATTAAATATTATATAATATATTTATTATACAATTAATATAATATATTTATATTTAATATATAATCCCGTCACGTCTGTGCTTATGAGGCTGTTTGCTCACTTCATTCGTTTTATTCTGATCAGATTTCAGATCGCTCAAACCACTTCAGAAGGTGATCTGGGATGCATTCCAGATAAAACTATAAAGCTTTAATAATTTTTTAGACAAACTTAAGAAAATACATTAAATTATGACCTGTAGAAAATCTGACCTGTAGATGCACTTTTACGGCCACAATTCTATTAAAAACATGTTTACTATAAGCATGAAACATGTTCTAACTCTTCAGGCCTTTAGCCAGGGGTGTTCGAAAGGGCCAACCCTCACTGACAAAGGTCCAGAATTTGTCCCATGCATGAGCTCATTTGTTGTATTTTGACTGCTATGCCATCATAAGTAATGAAAATAATTAATCGAAAAAGGCTTTAAAACCAAATGGAGTCCTCTGTCGACTGTTGCTTCGGTGGGACGATAATCTTATGTAAGAAAAGTCTTCTTTCACTACTGTATTGTTTTTAAACAGAGAAAAGATTTTACAGGTAACTTAATTCTAAATCTTGTACCTTATTTCTGAAATAAAAATGAGCAATAAAAAGGAGTGAAGCACCAGAAGCTGACCATATTAAAAATACTTTTAATATATTTTGGGTGTTGTTGATGTTAGGAATTTTCAAATGTATTTTTTTTTAACCATAGAGACTAGAACAATTCTGACGAACACATTATAATTGTATTATTATTATTATATTATTATTATTAGCATGTTTTAATAATAATAATTTTTTTATTGAAATGGCCAAATTGTGACTGAGGACAGTTGCATGTGCTTGCCAGTTTTTTGTCTAATAAATGATAGAAGGCTACAGTTTTTTTTTACTTTAAAACTTTAGCAGATTGCTGTTTTTTCCTAATCATATATGATGTAATAAATTATTATTTAAAAAATTAGTCTTGTTTAAATTTTTTTAATTGCAACTTTTTGGAAATATTTTGTACTTCAAAAAGTGTGGTTATGATGACATCTGACTAGCTAATCCAGCAAAAAAAAAAAAAAACAAAAAAAAAAACATAAAAGGCAGTATTTAAATCTCATAGTTAACTAGAAACTGAGGCGTATAACTGCAAAAAGGTCCACTTTTTGAGGAAAAAAAGAACCACCCCTTTCACCAGGTTGGCTACGAGCCTGTATATGCTGGATAATTTAGCGGTTCATTTCCACTGTGGCGACCCCTGATGAATAAAAGAACTAAGCCAAAGGAAAATTATTGATGATTTAATTTTGGAAAAAGCAGCCATTGGCATCCATAGCAGGACCAAAACATATGGAAGTTAATAGCTGTTTTTTTACGATATTCTTAAGAAAATCTTCTTTGAGTTCAACACAGAAAAGAAATTCAAACACGTCTGAAACTGTTGGAGGATGAATAAATCATCACAGAATTTTATTTTTGGGTGAACAATCACTTTAAATCGACGCTCTCTTGCAATGTCGTCAACATCCAGCAGTGGGAGCTGTTGTACAGCTGATGTGTTAAGCTTTTTATCTCTACTTTTAGGAAGAAAATGTCAGAATAAACATGTCTGGAAAAGTATATGCGCCCGAGTTCTGCACACAGACTACGAACAAGTACCTTATTTGACGTAAATTCTGCTCTACTCATTTCAGTGTGACTGACATCTGTCATTAAATCGCTAGCGATAAAAGTTATGCAAACTAAACTTTTCTGGGATTATTTAAAAGGTGTATAGAGGTTATTTTTTTCTGTAGTGCACATCTACACTGGCTCGTGATCAGTTTTATACAGTTGTAAATAGATTTAGGGTAGCTGGTCGTGCACTCTTCCTGTACTGCACGGTATGCGTAAAAACGCGCAATAACGCGCTCATGACAGTCTGACCACGCCTGAGAAGTTCAGGGCGGAGAGTCACAATAAAATTAGCTGAAGGATCAAGACAGTTGTACACTTCTCAGTTTTCTGAAGGCTTCTTCAGAACCGGAAAATGGCAGGAATTGCGTCTACTGTGGCCAAGAAGAGAGCGCTGGCTGCAGGGTTTGGAACCAACGCCAATGCCACCAAGTACCTGAACCAGGACTTTGAGGCGCTCAGGAGTGAGTGCAGGGCCAGAGGGACCCTGTTCTCAGACCCGACTTTCCCCGCCGCTCCTGAATCACTGGGCTTTAAAGAACTCGGACCCAACTCGTCCAAAACCAGAGGATTAGTATGGAAAAGGCCCGGGGTATGGATTCAGTTTGGCTAGTTTTCATCCTGTGGGCATCGTTTGATGTTATGATTAAACGGGAAATAGCGCACTTTTATTGTTATTACTGTTGAGTTTATGTTACAGTGGGATTGAAGAAGAGGATAATTATATAAAACATGTAGGTCTACATATTTTAGTTTGCGTGAAACTGCATTTTAAAATGTGCAAATGCCTAATTACCTTATTGTTTTTGACAAATAATATAGTCTATACGTTTTGGAAGACTTCATATAGTCAGACATCAACAAACCCGATAAGACTTCTGTTCCATTTGGTTCAATACATATTAAGTTTTAATATAGACGCAGAATGTAATTTTAAATGAATACATTTGTAAATATTTTAGCAAATGTAATTTTATCTACATTTTTGTGCCTTATGTTTCATAGAGTGCAAAACATGTAGCCTATTTTTTGAAAGTGTCATTTAAATACAATGTGTCTCTCTCTCTGTGTGTTATTTACAGGAATTATGCCAGAAACCACGCTTCATCGTTGGTGGGGCCACAAAAACGGATATCTGTCAAGGAGCTTTGGGTAAAACAACAAAATATTTATCTCTCTGCAGAGAATGTTTGTCAAACCCATTTATCATACACCCTATCCCTCGAAGTCAAACATTGAACACTCTGAGTCACACATTTCCTCTCTCGCGCTCCTGTTCTTATCTTAATTCTTTAAACATACACCTGCAAGTCAATATTATGTGTCAGATGTTATCAGTTCAAACACAAATTCAGCTTAAATTGAGGCTCAATGAACACTGAAAAGTTCTCTCATGTAACCCCTACCCAGTCATGTTATATGATTCATTATAAAAGTAACAATCAGCTACATCGTTACGTAGAAAAAGATGGTAAATTGTTAAACTTGTATGCAAATTTTTTTTTGGCATTCTTTAAAATCAAGCGTCCCGCACCTAAATGTTAATTATTATGCAAACTGACAGAAAACAAAACAAGAAACCCTAGATTCAGCTGATTCTCTTAAATATGGTGTAAATCTGCTACGTCTCCCCAAGATGTGTGTGATTACGTGATGGATGTTACTTGTAACTCTGGTAAAGCTACCTTTCTTTGTAATTTTGACAAGCAAATACTCATAAACAATGCCATTCCTCGAATAAGGGTGTGTCAGAATATGAGGAATGCTTTTAACATAGTGGTAATACCAGTGGAATTGTTACCTAAAACAACAATAGTAAAAAATTGCTAATTGAAATGAAACCTCAAAGTAAAATATGATTAATAAGCTAAAAAGCTTAAACTAAAAGTGTTATCCTTATGTGCTGCTAACAATATTTATGTTGCTATGTTATATTGCTTTTGTAGCTAAGGCTAAATGATAATTGTTTGCTCCAAAATCCATTATGAATTCAATTAGCAACATTTTATTTCAACAACTAAAGTAAAGAAAACACTAGAATTACTAAAGATAGACTTAGATAAACTTAGATGGGTGGTTGCTAAGTTCTTTGGTAATTATGCTTATTAGCATACCTGGAGTGTTGGTAGCATGTTTTGAAGTTTCAGTATATTTCTGGCTAGCATGTCACTATACTAAGTCAGTAGCTATTTTCTAGGCTTTGCTATGGATGTTTGTGTTACATTGTAGCACGTCGCTAAAATATAGCTCATCGCTAACCAGATTTAACACATTGTTAGCATGTTTTAACTTATTGCTTGCGTGTTTAGCACATTATTAGCATGTTATAACACATTGTTGTCATCTTTAAGTAGCTACATCGCTATCATAATTTTACATAATGATGTCAGTTTCTAGGATTTTTTTGTAGATAGATAGATAGATAGATATATAGATTGATTGATTGATTAAGGAGAAGCACTTTATCAGCATCTAGACCAGCAGCCTGTAAGTACATTTAAGATTTGTTTCAGTTGTTGTGTATGGTTTGAGGACTTGTTTCCAGCTGTTTGTGTAAAGTTGTAGGACATTTAAACTTGCTTTCAGTTGTGTATAATACTAGAAGTTGTTTAGCCACTGTTTCCTTGGTTACTATAAGAGCTTGTGTAGCGAACGCAAACGCGGTTTCGCGTCGTCCGCCTCAGTTTCGGCCCTTGTTTTGACTCGGGAGGCGTGTCCAAACGCCAGGTAACCACTATATAGCGAGCACGCTAGCATTAGTCGGCAGGAGAAGCACTTTATCAGCATCTAGACCAGCAGCCTGTAAGTACATTTAAGATTTGTTTCAGTTGTTGTGTATGGTTTGAGGACTTGTTTCCAGCTGTTTGTGTAAAGTTGTAGGACATTTAAACTTGCTTTCAGTTGTGTATAATACTAGAAGTTGTTTAGCCACTGTTTCCTTGGTTACTATAAGAGCTTGTGTAGCGAACGCAAACGCGGTTTCGCGTCGTCCGCCTCAGTTTCGGCCCTTGTTTTGACTCGGGAGGCGTGTCCAAACGCCAGGTAACCACTATATAGCGAGCACGCTAGCATTAGTCGGCAGGAGAAGCACTTTATCAGCATCTAGACCAGCAGCCTGTAAGTACATTTAAGATTTGTTTCAGTTGTTGTGTATGGTTTGAGGACTTGTTTCCAGCTGTTTGTGTAAAGTTGTAGGACATTTAAACTTGCTTTCAGTTGTGTATAATACTAGAAGTTGTTTAGCCACTGTTTCCTTGGTTACTATAAGAGCTTGTGTAGCGAACGCAAACGCGGTTTCGCGTCGTCCGCCTCAGTTTCGGCCCTTGTTTTGACTCGGGAGGCGTGTCCAAACGCCAGGTAACCACTATATAGCGAGCACGCTAGCATTAGTCGGCAGGAGAAGCACTTTATCAGCATCTAGACCAGCAGCCTGTAAGTACATTTAAGATTTGTTTCAGTTGTTGTGTATGGTTTGAGGACTTGTTTCCAGCTGTTTGTGTAAAGTTGTAGGACATTTAAACTTGCTTTCAGTTGTGTATAATACTAGAAGTTGTTTAGCCACTGTTTCCTTGGTTACTATAAGAGCTTGTGTAGCGAACGCAAACGCGGTTTCGCGTCGTCCGCCTCAGTTTCGGCCCTTGTTTTGACTCTCGAGGCGTGTCCAGCTGAATTCAATCAGCTAGTGCTTTGGGGTTATATAAACAACTAGTTCACCGCGGCAGCGGTCGCGGCAGCCTCGTGTGAAGACCGCCTCGTGTGAAGACCGACGAGGGTAAAGACCATCGACTCTACCTGCGCGACTCCACCGAGCACAGACACCGACAAAGCACTTGAGTACTTTACTGTATTGTTTTACTTTACACTTATTTTTTGTTGTCAGTGCACTTTTATTATGTGTTTTCTAATTCCTGTTGTTACTAACACTCGCAAAACACGGGAGGTGCGCTGCAGGCGTAATCCTCACAACCTTCGTTCAATACATGTATCTACTATTTCACAACTCTCTCTCTCCGTGGGCCTCTGGAATTGTCAATCAGCTGTTAACAAGGCTGATTTTATTACCTCCATAGCTACATATTCTGACTATAATCTCATGGCTCTAACTGAGACCTGGTTGAGGCCGGAGGACACTGCTACACATGCTACTCTTTCTGCTAATTTCTCTTTTTCCCACACTCCTCGTCAGACAGGGAGAGGGGGTGGGACTGGACTACTAATTTCCAAAGAATGGAAATTTACTCTGATACCGTCCCTGCCAACAATCAGCTCCTTTGAATTCCATGCAGTCACCATTATCCACCCCTTCTGCATAAATGTGGTTGTCATCTACCGCCCACCAGGTAAATTAGGTCACTTCCTAGATGAACTGGATGTTCTTCTCTCATCTTTTTCTAATTTTGCCACTCCCTTATTGGTGCTAGGTGACTTCAACATTTACGTTGACAAACCGCAAGCTGCAGACTTTCAGACTTTGCTTGCCTCTTTTGACCTAAAAAGAGCACCTACTTCTGCTACCCACAAATCAGGTAATCAGCTAGACCTTATTTACACACGACACTGCTTCACTGATCAAACAATAGTAACTCCACTACAAATATCTGATCATTTCCTTCTGTCTCTCAACATCCACATTACTCCTGAGCCGCCACACACTCCTACACTGGTTACCTTTCGCAGAAACCTACGATCTCTCTCACCCAATAGACTATCCACCATTGTTTCAGACTCTCTTCCTCCATCTCGCAAACTCACTGCACTTGATTCGAACAGTGCCACTAATACACTCTGCTCCACACTAGCATCATGTCTAGACCGATTATGTCCTCTTGCATCCAGGCCAGCCCGTGCCAGTCCTCCTGCACCCTGGCTCTCGGATGCTCTCCGTGAGCATCGCTCAAAACTTCGGGCTGCGGAGAGAATTTGGCGGAAAACTAAAAATCCTGCACATCTCTTAACATACCAAACTCTTCTGTCCTCTTTCTCAGCTGAGGTTACTTCTGCAAAGCAGACGTATTACCGTCTGAAAATCAACAATGCCACTAATCCTCGCCTACTTTTTAAAACATTTTCCTCCCTCCTCTATCCTCCTCCTCCACCCGCATCCTCCACACTTACTACTGATGACTTTGCTACATTCTTCTGCACCAAAACTGCAAAAATCAGTGCTCAATTTGCTGCACCTACAACAAACACGCAAGATACAACACCAACACCACACACACTCACCTCTTTTTCTCAGCTCTCTGAGTCTGAGGTGTCCAAACTTGTGCTATCTAGCCATGCAACCACCTGTCCACTCGATCCCATTCCCTCTCATCTCTTGCAAGCCATCTCTCCTGCAGTCATACCAACACTGACTCACATAATTAACACATCTCTTGACTCTGGTTTATTCCCCACTACATTTAAGCAGGCTAGGGTAACCCCACTGCTAAAGAAACCCAACCTGGACCATACGCTACTTGAAAACTACAGACCAGTATCCCTGCTTCCATTCATGGCCAAGATTCTGGAGAAAGTAGTGTTCAATCAAGTCCTGGACTTTCTTACTCAAAACAATCTCATGGACTACAAGCAATCCGGCTTTAAGAAAGGCCACTCAACTGAGACTGCCCTGCTCTCGGTCGTGGAGGATCTCAGACTGGCTAAAGCAGACTCTAAATCATCAGTCCTCATTTTGCTGGACTTGTCAGCTGCTTTTGACACTGTCAACCACCAGATCCTGCTATCTACGCTTGAGTCACTGGGCGTTGTGGGCACTGTTATACAATGGTTCAGATCTTACCTCTCTGACAGGTCATTCAGGGTGTCTTGGAGGGGAGAGGTGTCCAACCTACAGCATCTAAACACTGGGGTACCTCAAGGCTCTGTTCTTGGGCCACTTCTCTTCTCCATCTACACATCATCTCTAGGACCAGTCATCCAGAGACATGGATTCTCCTACCACTGCTATGCTGATGATACCCAGCTATACCTCTCTTTTCATCCTGATGATCCCTCGGTTCCAGCTCGTATCTCAGCCTGCCTGTTGGATATTTCACACTGGATGAAAGATCATCATCTTCAGCTGAACCTCGCAAAAACGGAAATGCTTGTAGTTTCTGCCAACCCGACTCTACACCATAACTTTTCAATCCAGATGGATGGGGCAACCATTACTGCATCCAAAATGGTGAAAAGCCTTGGAGTAACGATTGATGACCAACTAAACTTCTCTGACCACATTTCTAGAACTGCTCGATCGTGCAGATTTGCACTCTATAACATCAGAAAGATCCGACCCTTCTTATCTGAACATGCAGCTCAACTCCTTGTTCAAGCTCTTGTTCTCTCCAAACTGGATTACTGCAACTCTCTACTAGCTGGGCTTCCAGCTAACTCTATCAAGCCTCTTCAACTGCTCCAGAATGCAGCAGCACGAGTTGTCTTCAATGAACCTAAACGAGCACATGTCACTCCGCTGCTAGTCCGTTTGCACTGGCTGCCAGTTGCTGCTCGCATCAAATTCAAAACTCTGATGTTTGCCTACAAAGTGTCTTCTGGCCTAGCACCTTCTTATCTGCACTCACTTCTGCAGATCTATGTGCCCTCCAGAAACTTGCGTTCTGTGAATGAACGTCGCCTCGTGGTTCCATCCCAAAGAGGAAAAAAATCACTTTCGCGAACGCTCACGCTCAATCTGCCCAGTTGGTGGAATGAACTCCCTAACTGCATCAGAACAGCAGAGTCACTCGCTATTTTCAAGAAACGACTAAAAACTCAACTATTTAGTCTCCACTTCACTTCCTAATCTGCAATTGCCTATTTGAATATCACACTAACTGAAAAAAAAAAAAAAAAAAAAAAAAAAAAAAAAAAAAAAAATTACTAACACTTCCCTTCTTAGACTTTACAGACCTGAAACTTGCCTTTAGTACTTATTCATTGTTGCTCTTAGTGGTGTAAATTGCTTCCTTGTCCTCATTTGTAAGTCGCTTTGGATAAAAGCGTCTGCTAAATGACTAAATGTAATGTAAATGTAAATTAATTGAAAGTATGTGTTAGCATGTTGCTAGAAGTTATAGACAATAGTGGAGGATTTTAACTTCACCTTCCACTTCTTTGCATAATCTCACTCTCTTTTGCTCTGTTTTTTTTTCTTGTTGTTGCGTTTATCACTTTGCTGAGCCAAGCACATAATGCAAACCATCCAAACTTAGAAACTAGCCAGATGGATTTTGTCCCAGTAAAAGAAACCCGGGGCTGCGTTTATCCCGTAAAGTCCCACATTAAAAACATGCCCGCTTAATGCGATGCATGTGTCAAACTGCAGGAAAAAGCAGTCTATTGTCTAGCGAGAATCTCATGAGTTTCTGCTCCGCTTTCTGAGACTTTCAGCTCACCACTTGCGTGACATGAAAACCACAATGGCACTCATTGGCTGCTCCGGTTTTCATTTAGCTTCCCTCAAAATGTGCCTGTACTTGTTTACCTGCAGGCACTTTGAATATCAATAAGAATTCATTGCTCATGCAAATATATATTATACAGTCTCTGATATACAGAAATACTTGAGGGAACACAGGCCTTCATGTGACTGCTTCAGTTGCACACCACAGAATGTTGTGAGAGTCTCTCAGACCCACTTCCTGTCGCTCTGTTTTTTAGGTGACTGTTGGCTGCTGGCTGCTATTGCCTCCCTGACGCAGAATGAAGATGTTTTGGCAAGAGTTGTGCCCAATGGACAGGAGTTTGATGGCACTTATGCAGGAATCTTCCATTTCCAGGTATCTGCAAGTACTTGAGTCACTTCCGATGAATTACAAAATAAATTCAGATAAAAATAAAAGATAAAATAAAACTATTATTTTTGGGAAGGTGTCCGGTGTTTATTGCATGTAATTGCACTATTGTGCAAAAATATATTTTAAAAAGTAATAAATTATAATAATATAATATTGTATTATCTATCTATCTATGTTAGCATTGCTAACATGTTTTAGGACAGTGTTTCTCAACCACGTTCCTGGAGGTTCGCCAGCACTGCATGTTTTGGTTGTCTCCTTTGTCTGTCACACCCATTACAGGTCTTTCAGTCTCTGCTAATGAGCTGATTATCTGAATCAGGTATGTTAGGTTAAGGAGACATGGAAAATGTGCAGAGCTGGTGGTCCTTCAGGAGTGTGGTTGAGAAACACAGTTTTAGGACATTGCTAGCATGTTAGTAGCATGATTAGCAGATTGTTATTAACATGTCTGAACATGTTGCTAGCATTCATTCATTCATTTTCTTGTCAGCTCAGTCCCTTTATTAATCCGTGGTCACCACAGCGGAATGAATCGCCGCTAGCATCTATTAGTAAATTGCTAACATTAGTAACTATTTTTAGATGATTTTGCTAACATCTCTTAATATGTTGGTAGCGTACTTAATAAGAATTAAATCTTTTAGCTTTTTTAGAGATGTTTTTTTTAACACAAGCTCATTGTGAATACGTACCGCCATATACATTTCTGGAGAGTGCAAACTATGTAGCCAGAGGTATGTATGGCTGCATTTTGTCTTTAAAACGAACGCTATGGGGTGGTATGACACCGCCGACAGCTTCTCTTTCTTTTTGCGCTACCAGCTGACCGCTTACCCCCGTGTGAATGGCTTTTCCGCTGTTAACAGTTTGCCAAGTGACTTACCACGTACGTTGGCGAACTTAAGATGCACTGAGGAGTTGACCGCAACTGTGGGGTTTAGGTCTAATCAAGAATGGTTCCAGAAAGTAGGTAAAACAAAAACAAAAGGCAATAAATAAAATAAACAAGTAAATAACGGTGAAAACGTAAAAAGATAAAAAAAAATGGTAAAAATCAGGGGGCTTTTCTTTTTCTGGATTGCATTTGAAAACACTGTCGGTTGGGTTTCGGGAACAGGGTGGAAGTCAATTGAAAAAGCTATCGTTGTGTTTAGGAAAGGGGCTGGTTAGGGGGATCGTTAGTCTACAGCGGCCTCTGGTGGATTTACGTGAGAACAGCAGGTATGAATGGCACTCGGGAGAGAAATTTGAGATCTAAAAAAGTGTACACAGTGGCCTTTGGTAGATTCATAAAGACAAAAACTGCTATAAAACGTAGCTCCTGGGATGTATTTCACGCTCTCCAGAAATGTATAGAGGGGCGCGGATCCATAATGAGCATGGGTTGTTTTTTTTTTTTGTTTTTTTTGCAGATTTTTTTTTTTTTTTTTTTTTACATGTTAAGGGTTAGAAGTCAGAATTATTAGCCCCCTGTTTATTTTTTTCCCCTAAATTTCTGTTTAATAGAGAGAAGATTTTTTTCAAAACATTTCTAAGCATAACAGTTTTAATAACTCATTTCTAATAACTGATTTATTTTATCTTTGCAATGATGATAGTAAATAATTTTTGACTAGACAATTTTCAAGGCACTTCTATACAGCTTAAAGTGACATTTAAAGGCTTAACTAGGTTAATTACGTTAACTAGGCAGGTTAGGGTAATTAGGCAAGTCATTGTATAACGATGGTTTGTTCTGTAGATCGAAAAATGGGAAATATTTAAAAAAAGAAAAAGAAATTAAAGGGGGGCTAATAATTCTGACTTCAACTGTATATATTAAAACCATGTTTTATTCCACACATACAATTTTCCATTTTTACTTGAAAATGCTGTCATGTACACACTCCATAACATAATTCTTCATAAACATACAAATTATCAGATATTATATGTAAAGGTAGTAAAAAAATTGTAAAAAGGAAAAGCTAATATATATATATATATATCTCAGAATCTTAATAATGCACAAAGTGTAAACAACAATGTGGGATTACAATACTAAGTGTCCAAAAAGGCACATTTTTTTGAGGCTTGTATCAAACACATTGTTTTTATGTGGGCATTTTTTTGTTCTTTGACACTCATTTTGAGATTGAACAGATAAATGTGAGTCTGTACCTTCTCCACCAGTTCTGGCAGTTTGGCGAGTGGGTGGATGTGGTCATTGACGACCGGCTGCCGGTGAAAGATGGCGAGCTGTTGTTTGTTCACTCCGCTGAGAAAAACGAGTTCTGGAGCGCCCTGCTGGAGAAGGCCTATGCTAAGTGAGTGTTTTTTTGTGTTATTTCTTGTGTTCGTGAACCACCTTTAATCACAGTAATTAAGTTAGAAAGTGGCCAAACCAGAAAGTTAACCTGCCATCTAAGAAAAAAAGCAGGGCTTTAGATGTTTCTATGGAAATTATTTGAGCTCAAACTTTGCATACATGATGAACAAGCTTCATAGGTGTTTTCCAGGAATATGGGTGTGTCTTTTTATGTATTATGTGTTTAATCCAGCGCATATAATAACTTTATGTTAGCTTTATTTTAAAAGTATTTAATATACCCTTGTTTTTTCCTGCCAGCTGAACACAAAATGTTAGCCACCTGTTGTTTGTTGATTTAGTTTTGTGTAAGAGTACGTTCACAGCTGTTGACCTTTTCATTTTGCTTCCCCATCATGTGAACTATGAGAAAGGCCCTGCCCATATGTAATAATGTCATGCATTTTTTTTGTAGGCCAACCAGTATGTTAGCATGACCTTGGTTCCTTTGACAAAAAAACCCTTTGTGTTAATATCAAAAATTGTGTGTGCAATTTCACATATTTGCAAGTGCTTTAACAATAATGCCATTGAATGGTATATTATACGTGTGGATAAACATGATAAAAATCTTGTGTTAACCACCACTATTGTTAACCCCCACTTATATGTCAGGAATATGACCAAAAAACCAGAATAAAGGAACTGAAAATGCTAAAATGCTGATTTTGTCAGACAAAAAATGATCTCCACAGCAGTAATATTGCTGCTGGTGATCATTTCTACGTAATTTTTGCTTGATATTTTTCCTTTTCTGTGCTAAAATGCTTTATCTATATAAAATTTAGGCATTTAGAAATAAAAAAAAACCTCTCCAAAACCTTTAAAATCTACTAATACAAACATTTCACTTTAGTTTCTAGATGAAATAAGCACAGTACAAAACTAATATGTTATTTTTCTTACAAAGATGATCACATAGCACATAGCTGATTGTTTATGAACATGCCTTTTTTGTGCACCTTTTTGCATGTATAAATATATAAATGGAGAATATTAGTGCATGATATTGTATCTCAACATAGATTAATTTTCTTATGTAGTATGTTCAAAGCCACGAATAAACAAGATACATTTTTGTGGATGCGTTTTCACATTTGTTTTGTTAACACTTGTTTAGGTTTAGATCAGAGGTCATCAAACTTGTCCCTGGAGAGCTGGTGTCCTGCAGATTTTAGCTCCAACCCTAATCAAACACACCTGAACCAGCTAATCAAGGTAGTAGGTATACTTGAAACACCCAGGCTGTTGTGTTGAGGCAAGTTGGAGCTAAACACTGCAGGGTCACTGGCCCTCCAGGACCAGTATTTATGACCCCTGGTTTAGAGTATTTGAGTAGGTGATACAAGTATTGTTTCCAGGTGTTGCAGAAAAGTAGCCAATGTCACGTTTCCCTTGAGCCTATTTTGGCTAAAACATGTTTATAGTTGGTTATTTATCATGATTTAAGTAATAAACATTTGTTTTGTAGCATAAAAGATGCCATTTCATGAATGAGCTTCAGTTTTTCAACATTAAATGATCTGGAATTTGTGGCACGATGGCTTAGTGGTTTGCACTGTCGCCTCACAGCAAGAAAGGTGCTGGTTCGAGTCTCGGATGGCCTAGTTGGCATTTCTGTGTGGAGTTTGCATGTTCTCCCTGTGTTGGTGTGGGTGTCCTCTGGGTTCTCAGGTTTCCAGGAGTGTATGAGTGTTTCCCAGTAGAAAGGGCATCCGCTGTATAAAACAAATGCTGGAATAGTCGGTGGTTCATTCTGCTGTGGCAAATTAAAATAAGATTTTATTTCTGTGGGGTTTTATAATGGGGTTTTTAAAATCGTAAGTTAAATAAGTCTGTGGTAAAGAGAACTTGATAATATTTGTATCCTTGCCCTACAAACATGCGCGAACATGTAATTTCACTCTCTAACAGCAGGTTTTATGGTTTCTGGCAGGGTGAACGGCTGTTATGAAGCCCTGTCTGGAGGATCCACTAGCGAGGGTTTTGAGGACTTCACTGGAGGCATCGCTGAGAGCTACGAGATCAGAAAAGCACCGACCAATTTGTTTCAGATCATCCAGAAAGCCCTGGAGGCTGGAGCTTTGCTGGGCTGCTCCATCGACGTGAGATTTCTATATTTATGACATCCACAAATTACTAGACTGCATGTTTGTAGAATGTTTGGATGCAAAACGAATAGCTGTTTATGGAACAATTATCAATAGAAAAACGACTGAAATTTTTTTATAATATTTGAAATTTTGTTGAAGTAGTTTCTGCCCAATCAGATGTAATTTTGAGTCATAAGCCCCACCCACTCTATTTTTATCTGTAGATCACAAGTGCTGCTGATTCAGAAGCCATCACTCGTCAGAAGCTGGTCAAAGGCCACGCCTACTCACTCACAGGGGCAACAGAGGTATGATTATTATTATTTTAAATAACATAATTAAAATATTTAGTTTTTAAAGCTTTTTTGTCTCAGGTGAACTATCGTGGTCGCAAGGAAAAGCTGGTTCGTATGCGCAACCCTTGGGGACAGGTGGAGTGGACCGGAGCCTGGAGCGACAAGTAAGGTTTCATTACTGCAATATATGTGTTACATGCAGTCATGGAATTTCTGGAGTATCATGGAAATTTAAAGGGTCTGTTCCAGACATTTAAAGTTAGGGAAATTAATATATTTTTTATCCAATTGAATATCAAGGACTGTTTTGTTGCTTTATTTTTTTGTTTCTAATGAATTATAGATTTTGTTGATGTCTGACAATATGAAGTCATTCCAAAACGTGGGCTACATATTGTTTGTAAAAACATGCTAAGTAGGTATATGCAGATTTAAAAATGCAGTCCCCATCAAGCCAAAATATGTAGGCCTACATATTTTACATGATTATTCTCTCGTTCAATCATACTATAACATAAAGCCATTTGTTAATTCATTGTTTTTAATGAAAATGTTTTTCATGTATTGCCGGTTGTTATGGTTAGGCTATTATTATAGCCATTTTATTTCTTGCCCCCTTGGCAACTGGTTTAAAGGCATAGTTCACCCCAAAATGAAATTTTGCTCACTGTTTACTCACCCTCAAACGGTTATAAACCTTTATGAGTTTCTTTCTTCTGTTTTACACAAAAGAAGATATTTTTAAGACGGCTGAAAACCTGTTATTATAGACTGCCATAGTAGGAAAAATAAATATTATTAAAGTTAATGTTTTCCAGTTTCCAACATTCTTTAAAATATCTACTTTCTTCTTTTTTGAGTTCAAAGGAAGAAAGAAACTTAAACAGGTTTGTGAGAAGTGAAGGGTGAAAGAAAGATTTTCATTTTTGGGCGAATATCCCTTCAAGTCTATTACAGTCACCAACCATACCTGTTAATTAAGGCCCCATTTACACTAATATGTTTTAGTTTTTAAAAAAAAGTTTTGCTTCGGTTACGCCTTCCATCCACACTACCCCAGAGTTTTCAAGCCCCGAAAACACAACATTTTGGAAGTGCTGAAGAGGCGTTTTTTGTTTTAAAATGCTGCTGCTCTGTGTCAGTGTGGATGGGGAAAACGGAGACATCTGAAAACGGTAGCGTGGCTGTAGACATTCGCCTATCTGATTGGGCTTTTTCTCAATATTTAGTGCACAAAGTTTAGTCTTACATCCTTTATTAGACTTAGCAATTTTTATATAAAAAACAAACTACCGAGGACACTTCGGTAAATCCTAAAAGGGAACAGGGTACTTTACAACCTCAATTGCATCACCCTGGCTATGATGTAACACTATTTTAACAATAAAATAAAAACATGAAACAAGGAACTGCCTGTTTTCATTTTGATATTAACAACTTAACAGACACTAAAAATGTTAAGGCGTCGTGTAGTTGCATATTTATATGACCGTCCTCTTCACTGTGTGCAAATTTTATAACAAAACCTATAACCTATATAATAAGAGACTATAACATAACTGCCTCCTTTCATTTTCATTAAAAAATACGAAACATACCCAGTCTGTTTTGCTGAATATCAGTTTTAATAATCAATAATGGGCATTATAAAAGTATAACATACAATAAGTTATTTACAAAATAGGAAATAAAGGCAAACAATCAGTCAAATGTTTATATTCAGTGTACGTGGTTACATAAATTAATATAACATATCTTTGCGCTCAGCCAAAACACGTTACCTAGAAACAAGTAATAGATTCAAAATACAAAAGAGTCATTAGATAGAGACGAGATGAATAAAATATCATGTTTAACAACTTTAGTGATATGAGATGCAGCGGTAGACCCTTAATGAACTGCCCGATGTGCACTGCTCTCACCTCAGGAGGTGTGCTCAAGCCACACGCTGACTGCCTGGAGCTCGGACCTCTGCATATGCTGAAGTGCAAGTCAGAGTGTGTGCATGGTCACATTATGTGCGTTGTCAGTGGTGTAATGTAGACGGAGAACTTTTTAGAAACGCTAGATAAAACACCAGTGTAGATATGGATTGTTTCTGTTCTAAAAAGGCGTTTTAAAACTAACATATTAGTGTAAACTAGGTCTAAAACAAATATTGCTAGCAAAATGTCTTGGACTAATACAAAATGACTACTCTAATACAGTGTGTTAGACTGTGTAATCTTGTTCCAATCTGAGGTAAAAAAAAAAAAAAAATTCCATTGTTTCTTAATGGTTATTAAATTAATAGCAAACACAAACCACCTTGTTTTTACATTTATTATAAAAAAAATAAATTATTCAGTGAAAGTCAGGGATTTTTACATTTGGCTAAGAATAAGAACCCTGTTCTTAGCTAAATGTTGCTGAAATTACAAAAACAAAAAACATTTTATTCAGAAATATGCTAGGTTACATATACATTTAAATTTGAAGCCAATATCCCAGACGAGTCCCCATCTATTCTGGGTCTGTGTTAAAGGCGTCTGTGGGTAGTCATTGAACTAGTGATTGCTTGATTTCTGCACAATACTGTATACTGGGAAAAAATAGCATTAATTGGTAAAACGGGTTAACTCTAAAGAAGAGAAATCGACAAGGCTGTTGTAGATATCAAAGAGTCAGTTCACCTAAAAGTGAAATTGTGGTTTCACAAAATAACATATATTAAAGAATGTTGGAAAGCGGCAGCCATTGCTTGTGGGGAAAAGTTTGTATTAAAGTTGTGGTTGGACTTGTTTTGTGGGCGGTCATGGCAGTCTTGACATTCCTTGGCATGACACCAGAGAGCACTTCAAAAATAAATAAATTACCTAACAGCCTCAACTCAAGGTTGATAAACAATAACACAATATTTGTTAGAGCATAAAGTGTGTAAACATCTGACTGTCTGAGACTTACAGTTTTATAGAATTGATCAATTTAATGAACTTACGGAGAGATTATGATAGCATCACTGTTCAAACACTGGACTGATGGTTATCTGAATAGTGTTTTTCATCTCCCCTATAGTTCACCTGAATGGAACAGTGTTGCGGCATCAGAGCGTCCAGACGCCAGCGCTGAGGATGGTGAATTTTGGTGGGCTTATGGACTTGTTATCCATATTTAATATTGATGCTAATTACAATTGCAATCTGGATGCTAATACTTCTATACAGATTACATTCTATGTATGTTTTTCCCTTTGTACAGGATGGCATTCTCCGAATTCCTCACCAATTACTCTCGTATAGAGATCTGCACTCTGACGCCGGATGCCATCACAGATGATTCAGTAAAACATTGGGCCGTGACAAATCATGACGGCACATGGAGGAGAGGCTCCACCGCTGGAGGCTGCAGAAACAATCCATGTGAGCCATAAAAAGCATTAACTCTCCAAATTAACCAAGAGTTGTGGATCAGGGACAAAACATTTTCTCACTACTAATTCAGTTCAATTCATCTTTTATGTCTATGCCGCTACAATGTAGATTGAGTCAAAGCAGTAGTGATGGGAGGTTCGGATCATTTTACTGACTCGGATCTTTGAGTCTCGTTCATCTAGATCAGGGGTGTCAAACTCAATTCCTGGAATGCCGAAGCCCTGCACAGTTTAGTTCCAACCCTGCTCCAACACACCTACCTGTAGGTTTCAAACAAGCCTGAAGGACTCAATTAGTTTGATCAGGTGTGTTTAATTAGGGTTGGAACTAAACTGTGCAGAGCTGCGGCCCTTTTGGAACTGAGTTTGACACCTGTGAACTAGATAAACAAATCTTTTTTCGAGTCATCTCTTTAATTTGGTTCAATTTGCCAAAATATTATTAAAATGTTACGAATTGCTTCCAAACACATCTACAACTAGCCCAAAATGTTGATCACATAACAAATAAGTCATAAATAGAATACTATAAGAAGGAGAAAATAATAATTCAATGTTTACCTGTTCTTTTGTCTATGAAGCTCACCTCTTCATGTCTTCAAATGTCAGTGGTTCGTTTACGTTACTCTGACAGTCGCATATAATCTTAACCAATGTACATAGTCTGAGCCGATAGGAGCCATGATAAATAGTTCACCTGTCGAGTCTTTTGGTTCTTGAGTCGTTCGTTCATCACATGACAGAATGACTCAAACCCGAGGACTCGAGAGATGAACGGATCAATTCTTTTTCCGGCTCTAAACGCAAAGGATTAGCTTCTGCCTTTCCGCTATGAACGACTCAAAAGACTTGAAATGAACGATACCATAATTAACACTTCTTGTATGTATTGCCTCTTATTGAATCGCCACTTAAATTTTAGTCGCTTTGGACAAAAGCGTCTGCTAAATGATTGAATGTAAATGTAAAAATTTTGCTGACCGGTTCATTTAATGCTCTACAGACACATTTTGGATGAATCCACAATTTGTGGTGAAACTGGATGAAGAAAATGTCGAAGATAAGGAGAAGGGCTGCAGTTTTGTAGTGGGTCTGATTCAGAAGAACCGCCGGCGCCTGAGGAAAACTGGAGAGGATATGAACACTATTGGCTTTGCTATTTATGAGGTGGGTGGAGACATCTAAAAGAGGTTGACGACGAAGAAATAAACATAATTACTTCTAAAGAATTACAAAATTACATTAGAATAACCCCAAATATAATGTTTTTTTTTTCTTTTTACATCCACAGCTCCCCCAGGAGGTAAGATTAAACTACTTACAACTTTCTCTTGGCTAACATTTCACCTTTTTTCCTACACATCATGACGCTTTGTGTGAATCCATGTAGACAGTTAGTAAAACATTCACCTCGGTCACATCTACCACACAAGCTCACATGAAATGAATTCAAGAAAAAAATTAGCATGAGGTAAAAAACGTCCCACAATTAAGTGTTTCAGTTTTGGTGTGAACCCAGCATTACACTGTAACCTGCTCAGCTAATGTTTTCGTCTGTAATATTCATATTATTTGCTAATTAAAAACCTCCCATGCAGATTTTCATAACTGTAAAATGGCTGCTACTGTCCTCTGGAAGTTGCATTTTTGGGCCCATCGGCATTATGTTGATTGTTTTTCACCAAGGCAACTAGGGGAGCTGAAGTGAAGTTTATTTATAAACTAATTTCTAGGGGATCACAGGCTTATGATTGCTTGCTACTGGTTCCCCCATTACTCAATTTATGATTCACCAATCAGACGATTCCTAAGCCACTATAAAAACCCTAAGTTCCATAAAATAGCCATCTTCATTTTGAAGAATCCCCTTCCACTCCTACTCCTCCTTCTTTCCTTGATGGGTGGCACGGTGGCCCAGTGGTTGCCTCACAGCAAGAACGTCACTGGTTCTAGTCCTTACCAGGCCAGCCGATGCTTCCCGTGCTCATGTGGGTTTCCCCCGGGTTCCCTGGTGTCCTCCCACTGACTAAAAACATGCAGCCTAAGTTATTTGACTAATCTAAATCGGCAGCATAGACATGCTCCTAGTAAGTAGTTACCTCTTAAGAGCAATCACTATCTGTTCATTAGTTACTACAGCAGGGGAGTTCTTGAGATCTAACTGAGCTGAAACTACCATCTTGCCTCGCAAATGGGAGGGAGCCCCGGGCTCGAAGATCTTATGAGCTCAGGGCTCTCTCCCGGGACAACAAGCCAAACAAGCTTTATAATCACTTATCAGTTAAGTGCAAACTCTTGAAATATAATTGGGTAAACTGAGTCCAAAATACTTCCACACATAACACACAAGTACAAAGGAGAAAACTGACTGTAGCATGTCTTTCAGATAAACAAGTATGCTTGCTTGGCATGCTTAGATATACTCTAGTATTTTTGTGCTTTAAAAGAGTTAATGGGCTCTATCATACACCCAGCACAATAAGGCGCAAGACATGTTTGGCGTGATTTATTGCCATTTTCAGACCAGCGCAACAGTAATTTTTCTGTTTTGCACCTTGTTGTTTAAATTGAAAATCCATTTGTGCCACTTTTGGAGACCCATGGGTGTTCTGGTCTATGAAGGAGGTGTGTTAAGGCGCAGTGTTGGGCCATTGCTTTTTTGAGGAACAAAACTAGACCGCACCATTGATCAACTGAAAGCTGGTGTAAAGTCCAGCACAGAGCACATTAATTATCCCTCTGTGTGGCTCCAAACACTTATACATTGCTTAAGGCACACAGAATGTACAGCAACACACAAATATCTTTACATATGAAAAAAAATTAAAATGTTTCAAAAATTATTATTTTATACATAGAAATAAATAAAAACATTACCTCAATGCCTTCTTCATGTTTATTCATCAAAATTTGCTTTTGTATAATGTCATTATTATTTGCAGTATTATTTATTATATGCAAATTCATATTTGCTTTAATTAAAACAAGTTTAGATTTGTCCACTTATCAGGGTTGGGAGATGTATGCATCAGCATATGGGGCATAAGAATAGGATTAGTGTTTGGATATAACTCAGTTTTTTGATCACACTTCTTTATTATTGTTCATTTATTAATTTGCTGGAAATTAGAACTTATTTTTTGAATAGTTTTGAAACAAATCCTTGTGCTTAACAAACTAAATTAAATATGCAAGCTAATGGATGTTTTCAGTGGAGGGAGTACAAGTAGCCCTTTTTAAAATAGCAAAAGTGGATTCCGACACCCTCTTAATGCTTTTGTGCCATGCTCTTTAGACTTTTCGTCTAGATCGTTAAAATAGAGAACACACACGTTAAAATACAAACTGTAACATTGTTTTCATGACAAATGAAAATAAAGCACAAAGTCAAACATACATCTCACCTGGATTGTATCACAACCTTACTACTTGAAGTCATTTGATTTGTGTTGTTTTTTTTAATGGAAGTTCCCCAAACCCATTATTTGTTACATGCTGGAAAAGGTGGATAACAAAAAAAAAAGTTATGAATGTTTCTGGTTTGCTGTCTCTATCAGTTTCACGGTCAGCGGGAAGTGCACCTGGATAAAAACTTCTTCCTGACGCACGGACAGAAAGCTCGCTCTGAGACTTTCATTAACCTCAGGGAGGTCTGCACGCGCTTCCATCTGCCTCCTGGAGAGTACCTCATCGTACCATCTACCTTTGAAGCCAACAAGGACGGAGACTTCTGCCTGCGTGTCTTCTCTGAAAGCCAAAGTGAAACACAGTAACGTGCCACATTTGTGTTCTTGACTATATGCCATATTTGAAATATGAATTCAATTTATTTGACTGGATGATTTAATGTTTCTTACTAGACAATGCGATGACCCTGTGGATGCTGAATTACCTGATGTAAGTATCTGACTTAAAAGCTGTTAAAAGACCATCCAAAGTTGTGCATTCAACAGCAACAACAACAACAAATGCAAATCGAGAATGCATTTAAAATCCTTAACGAATGGCAACCCGCTGATTATTCTGCTTATTCCATAATCATTTGCCAAGGCATAGACAAGTTAAAGCTTGTATTGCTATTTGCAGCACTCAAGAGAGAGGTAATGCACATGCATGTTAATGACAAGGCATTACAGTGGCACAGTGGGTAGCATGCCTCACAGCAAGAAGGTTGCTGGTTCGAGTCCTGGCTGTGCCAGTTATCATGTCTGTGTGGAGTTTGCATGCTCTCCCCGTGTTCGTGTGGGTTTCCTCCAGGTGCTCTGGTTTCCCCCACAGTCCAAAGACGTGCTATAGGTGAATAGGGTTGGCTAAACTGCCTGTAGAGTATGAGTGTGTATGGATGTTTCCCAGAGATGGGTTGCAGCTGGAAGGGCATCCGCTGCGTAAAACGTGCTGGATAAGTTGGCGGTTCATTCCGCTGTGGCGACCCCCAGATTAATAAAGGGAATCTGTGGCTTAGTTGGTGGTTCAAAGGGTTTCTGGGTGGCGCAGTGGGTAGCCCGATTGCCTCAAAACAAGAAGGTTGCTGGTTCAATCCCTGGCTGGGCCAGTTGGCGTTTCTGTGTGAAGTTTGCATGTTCCCCCAGTGTTTGCGTCAGTTTCCTCTGGGTGCGCCGATTTCCCCCACAGTCCAAAGACATGTGGTATAGGTAAATTGGGTAAGCTAAAATGTCCGTAGTGTATGTGTGTGTGAATGGGGGTGTATGGATGTTTCCTAGTGATGGTTTGCAGCTGGAAGAGCATCCGCTATGTATAATATATGCTGGATTAGTTGGTGGTTCATTCCGCTGTGGCAACCCCGAATTAATAAAGGGACTAAGCCAAAAATAAATGAATGAATTAATTGGTGGTTTGTTCTGCTGTGGCAACCCCTAATAAATAAGGGACTAAGCTGATGAAAAAAATGAATGAATGAATGATTCAGTTGCCTCTTATTACACAAAAAGCAGCAATAATAATAAAAATATATCATCGGTGGTAATAAAACTTTACCACAAATAAGTCGATAAACAGTCCATTCCCACATACTGTGCCTATTTTTGTTTTCAGGAGACTGTCTCAGATGATCAAGTTGATTCAACGTTTAGGGGGATGTTTGTAAAACTTGCCGGACCTGTAAGTGAAGACCATTTATACCGCAGTACAAATGTATATTTTCTGAGAGCAGATCAAAAGCATACTGTACCTCTCTCTAGGACATGGAAATCTCACCCCTGGAGCTCATGACCATCTTTAACAAAGTCATTGCAAAACGTAAGTTCTCATGCATCATTTAGTTCTCACTCAAGATCTGATGGATCTGTCCGAGGAACTATTTTGTGTGTTGTTCAACAGGCACTGACATTAAGTCGAGCACCTTCACTTTGGATACGTGTCGTGTCATGGTGAACCTCATGGACGTATCCTTCCAGCTGCAGCTGAATTTATTGTGTTTGCATTAACTTGACGTAAGCACTCAAGTCAGGAATTGACAGTATTTGATGTGTTGTTCTATTGTCAGCTTCCCTTAACTGATCTCAGGACAGTGGGAATGGAAAACTGGGGCTGGGAGAGTTTGCTACTCTGTGGAAGAAAGTGCAGAGATACCTTGTAAGAGATCAGCTGACGTGTTTAACATAAAAAGCATCTGTTATTTATAACAGTGTGTAATGTAGTATTTTATTCACCCAAGGAAATTTACAAGCATAATGACTTGGATAGCTCGGGAACCATAAGCACTACAGAGCTGCGTATGGCACTGAAAGAGGCCGGTGAGTCACGTCAAACTTGAAAATCTACATTTAAAATCTTTTTTTGATTATGTATTTTAATATTCACAACATCTGTTCTCTTTTCCCTCTCAGGTTTCTGTCTCAATAACACTTTATTTCAGCTGATGGTTGTACGTTATGCTGAGAAGGACATGACTCTCCTCTTTGACAACTTCGTGTCCTGCCTGATGCGACTTGAAATGATGTTCAGTAAGTCTCTTTGCTCTTTATTTTAGAGTAAACATTTGGGCTTTGGCAGTGAAAGCAGCATAGAAAGTGTTTATGGATTCTGTTAGCATCACCTATAGTCAGTGTTGCAAGGTTTGAAGAAGGTATTTAAATGTCTCTGTCATGTTGTGTTTGGTACAGGGAGTCAAATAGCTTGTGGCTGGAATCTTGTGTTGCGTATTGTTAGGGTATGGTGTTCTAATGTATGCTGCTCAGCTAATGTTTATGTTTGTAATATGTATATTATTTGTCAATTAAAAGCCACCTAATGTGGTTACTCTGAATCTACAATTTAATATCAGAGGCATACATTGAAGCAGCCTTCAAGACTTTCACTTTCACACCTAGACGTTTGTTTCAAAACCTGGCTTGTTTGCCCCTTAGCTCGGTTAGTTTGGGCATATGTGAATGCTGCAATCGTGCTCTGAACAATCGGTCTGATGCTGTGTTTACACCAGACACGACACGCACTATTTGCGTGTAAATAGACGCGTGAACATTTTGAGTTTACTCACTTCATTTGCGCGTCAAATTCACTTCACAATGGACATGGATTCGCGTCATGGCCAGGGCTTTTGTCTGCTGGTGACTCTAGCTTCGTTGCTAATTGGCTAACGTGGATATTATTGAGAGATTAGCTGTGTTTTATGTGCTTTAAGAAGGCTGATAAACAGCTTAGATTCGTTCAGTGCAGTGTCTCAGTGCACTACATCCATTCCGAGAAGCACTCAGCTCTGTGAGTTCATCAACTTCTCCTGAAACTATACCTGGATGATGAAGCTTTCAGCTTTGCTTTTGATTGAGCCGAGCCCAGTTTGATGAACTGTTGTCTGGTGTCGGCAGGAGGATTTTCCCCCGGGACACCAACAACAGGTGCTAGGTCTCTAGGACATGATTGTTTAACGCTTAAATCGCGGCATTCGTGCTGCCTCATTTGTGCCGCAGGATGTCTATTCGCATCTTTGCATTGACTTAAAATGTAAATAACTCGCGCTTAATGCTTCATCTGCCTCAGGTGTGAATGCAGCATGAGATCACTTGAGTGAGTAACTGATAATTGTGTTTCATGTTCAATATTAAAGTGAAAGAGTGCTGAACTATGATGAATGAGAGCTGTTTATCCGTTAAGAAAATTTACCAAAATTATTATATGTTTTTTTTTTTTTCATTTCTTATAATATTTTGCATTAGGACTATTATTTTGTTCATTTATGCACTGACACCTCAAAAGAATGATCAACGTTGATCTGCTTCTTGATGTGACTGCAGTTCAATTGTTTTGTGTTATGTTTATAATTCATAATTCTAGCCAACGTTTTTTATGCTCATAATTATTAATGAAAACAAAAGTTATTAAATGTCTTATTCTTTTTTTAAAATAACTAATTACATTTTACAAAAATGACAGACAATAGATTTATGACCTTGACAACTGAAATAAGGCTTTGTTTGAGAAAGTCTTTGCTCTGATTTATATTTGGTGATTATGTCTGTGGGTGTCACCATACAACTGCACCAAGATCAAAAAGCAACATTAAAGCAATTTAATCCCTGTTTCGGAACAAACCAATCGATTTACAGGTGTGAAAGCACCCTTAAATGAAATATGCTGTTTTCCAACCTGAGGTGCTGAAATGTTATTTGTTAAACTGGCAGTGGGAGGGTTATAGAGAGCAAAACAAAGACAGATATTTTGTCATTTAAAGCACATTTTAACTTTGTTGACTCTGCAAACATATTACGGTATCTTGATGCTTTAGAATAGTTTCTCAACCATGTTTCTGAAGGACCACCAACTCTGCACATTTTCCATGGCTGTTTCTCAATATGCGTTCTTCAGCGATTTTGTGTTCTCGTGTTGCGTCCTCATCAGCTGCCAAAGAGTTTAGTTCCAAAACTCAAGAACGCAAGAATGGAGGACGCGTGAAAGTTCCCAGATGTGTTCTTGATATCGAGGACGCAACGATGCTGGCTTGAGCACCAAACTCGCTTGAGAAGACCCAGAAGTCATTGGGACTGGAAGTGGGAAGCTCAGCATTTCAAATAGATTTAGTATTAAAGTTCAGAGATATCACTTATTCACCTCAGGAGTTACCCTAAATGGAACTCCTTTGTATTGTGAAAAGGGCAAAAATGATAAATCGTTGTATGAATGCTGTAATGTTTAAATCATTTTCATAAATAATCAGAAGGAATGCAGCATCTCATTTCTCACAGGAAGCGTTCTCTGTTCTCGTGGTATCTCTAGTTCGTTCTTCTGAGGGCACCTGGCAAGACCGGTCTTCACAAGAACGCAAGTCCATTCTTGCAATTGAGAAACAGCACAAGTCTCCCTAACCAAACACACCTGATTCAGATCATCACCTCTTTAGCATAGCCCAAAAGACCTGTAATGGGTGTGACAGACAAAGGAGACAACCAAAACATGTAGTGCTGGTGGTCCTCCAGGAACGCGGTTGAGAAACACTGCCTTAGAAGAGCCAAAATCGTTCAAACAGCACCTTTAATTGACATTGTTCCTGGAATGCATTGCTGGCAATCTAAAAAACAATGTAAGTGAGCAAAACCATCTGACAGCACATCACAAATTAAATGAGCTGCACATCAGTTGCACCCACATCTGAGAAGGAGTGTTGTTTGTTGAAAGTAGAAAAAGTCAGTCAGTACTTTACTATATCTACAAATATGTATATCATTAAGATATCAGAGAAGATGTGGTAAACCTTACAGTTAGTGGGAATCCAGCAATGACCTCTGATTGGAGAAGAGAAAAAAAGATTGGCTTCTTTAAATTCTTTTTAGGGGTGGCTCAGTGGCGCAGTGGTTAGCACTGTCACCTCACATTAGGAAGGTTGCTGCTTTGAGTCCCAGCAGCGCCATTTAAGCTGCATTTCTGTGTGGAGTTTGCATGTTCTCCCCATGTTCGTGTGGGTTTCCTCTGGATGCTCTTATTCCTCCTATAGTCCAAAGACATGCTATAGGTAAGTTTAATTAGCTGAATTGACCGTTGTGTATGAGTGTGTGGGAATGAGGGAGTATGTGGGTGTTTTCCAGTACTGAGTTGCAGCTGGAAGGGCATCCGCTGTGTAAAACATATGCCAGAATAGTTGGCGGGTCATCCTGGTGTGGCAACTCCTGATAAATTAGGGACTAAGCAGAAGGAAAATGAATAATTCCTTTTAGGTGTGATGTCATTGAACAGATGTCATTTCAGCTAGAAAAATGACTTGTACCTGGCAACCCTGCCTATAGTGGACATGGTGGCCCAGTGTTTTTACATCACTGTCTTCTCTGATTATCATTTCCAGGGGCATTCAAAAGGTTGGATCCTCACAAAAGTGGCTTCATTGAGCTGAATTTTAATCAGGTTAGTCATACATTTAGATAATACCAATAGTTATAATCAAGTTATTAATACAGTGCTCAGCATAATTGAGTACACCCTATTTTTTTCAGTGAATATAGGCAATGCATTTTGGTGCATTTAGACAAAACATATTTTTTAAACAGATATATTTATCAAAATAATATTTTAGTCACCAAACTTATTCAGAAATTGAAAGATAATACAAATAAATTCAAGCAAAATATTGCAAATAAAAAAAAAATACAACCTACAAAATCTTTCAATTTTTAGATTTTCTTGATATTTCCTTTTTTTGTATTTAATATTTTTCTATATCATATACATTTGGGTGTACTAGTTTTTAGACCGTTAGCATAAGTTCTTTTGTTAAATAAGCTCCAGATTTGGCTTCAGTACTGGCTAATCTAATGTATATGCACAAATATAATATTGTATAGCTTCCTTTTAAAAATATGAATTTAAAAGAGAGATTTGTGAGGGGTGTACTTATATATGCTGAGCAGAGCACTGTAGATTCTATAACTTTCTTTGTGTTTTTTTAGTGGCTGAACCTTACCATGATATAAGACGACTCGCCTTCAAAGCACAGCACTCAAGACAGAGTTAAATGTTTTACACTTTCAAAGATATGAATTTACCTTTATTTTTAAAACTCTCTATTGCACTTTCGACCAGTCTTACTTTAAAATGCTGCATGATGTGTTTTAGTGTCGTCATTGCCGCACTATTTTTGTTTACGACTGCAAGCATTGTTGAACCAGGAGTATCTTAACCACTATGTAATAAAAAGTGTGTGTGTGTGTATTCTTACTATTTTTCTTCTCCAAAAGATATTATTAAATACTTCTGAAACTGTATGGATTTGTTTTTGTGTGTGACTGGAAGTTACAAAGGAGGCACTTCCGTTGCCTTTAATGCTTTGACAAACCACGCACAGACGCTTTTCATTCGACTCCTCAGCTGTCAATCATTCGTTAGTCCCTCCCTCATAGGCGTGGCAGTGCACTGCGGTACCCTGATTGTCCTGTATCATCCGCACTGAGCCGAACATCATTCTCTCTTTTCCGTTATTTCAAAACGCGTCGTCTGGGCTGATAACAGTAGCGACAACTATACAGTGGTAAGTTAACTTAAGTTTTCCAGGTTATTTGTACGAGATATCCGTCTATTCTGTGGCAAAGTGTGAAACCTCTGCCCTATATTTCTAGCAAGTGACGAAACTATTTTCTTTTCCTAACGTTAGTTGTATGAAATATTACTTAATTTCAGAAAATGACGTTTGTAGATCAATCATAATAAATATAAAAAATAATAGCCATATTACACATAAATTATTCAAGTATTTTGGCGTGCATCCTATTTACATCCTTTTAATGTGTGTTAGAAACAAAATTATAACTGCACTACACATATTCACTCATGTTAGTTACATTTATTGTGTGTTTACTTATTTAGTCTTGTCCAAATGATAATAATCTTATGTTTACAGGTAAGTTTGTCGCCACTGAAGCATAAAAAATATACAAACATATAAAGCAACGCTGAGTGAATATGTGCAGTTTTTGAGGGTGTGTTCATTCTAAAACAAACACTAGAGTGCTGATGCTCAGTCTGGCCTATTGATTTCACATCACTAAGTCATTTGACATTAGTAACAGTGAGCAATACTGTGTTTACATACAGTGTGACCTGCCTCAGTGCACATTGAGAAAAAAATCCATAGTTAAACTTTTATTTTGATGCAGTCTCTTAATGTTTTTTTGTAAGGTTCTTTGAAGAATATCCAAATATATAAAGGAGAATATTGATTGTCCTTTTAGAGTACACTTAAACATATTGATTGGGTTATTGTTCATATATTTTTGTACAAAAAAGAAAATACTGCCATGCTAATATGGTCATTTTCAGATACACAGTAATATTGGCATGTTTAAAAAAAATAAGAAAACAAACAATAAAGCACATATACAGTAGTCACATTTTGAAGTAAATTAAAAAAAAGTTGTTCAAAATTTTCATAAAACAAGAATGGGTGTTCAAACATATTAGGACAACTTTGAAGAAAGATATGGTTCACTTAAAACGTTGACTACTGTATATCGAAGTATAATGTTATAGACCATTTCAGTGTGGTCATGTCAGTGGCCTATGAACATTTCCTGCTTGTTATCAAACTTTTTCATAACTGTTACAAGAGGCAATTCAAACATAACTTAATGTTAAAACGGCTATCATAACATTGTTTATCAATATGTAGATATTTCTTGATTCTCTAAAGCTATAAAAATAAACATGTAAAACAGGAAATGTGTTGGAACCATTGTTTTGTTTACATCGCTCAAAATGGTCTGCATCTCTGTATTAATGCATTTTTGCTATATAAACATGAAGTCGTGTGGTTGCATATCACCACAGATTTGTCACTAAAACATTTCTGAATTATCATTTTTTTTCTCCTTAAGCTTAAAGCCGTACCAGGACCTTCAGGTATATTCACCTTCTTGTCTTTCTGTTGCTACATTTAGAGAAAGTAATCAACTAAATGTCCAAGGCTAGCATAGTTCTCATCACATATGTGCCTTCCTTTAGCCAACGCTTGGAGAACTGCCCTCCATGTTCCATTAAATCACACCGCATGCACGTCGTCGACTTTGTCTGGCTGTGTTCTTAAGCAGCTGCAGAGCTCACTGGTTAACCATATTACAAGACAACGAAATTAGCCAGTCATTAGTAAACCTCTCTCCACCCTCAAAAGGGTGTCTGTTGTTAAGGGCATTTCTCTCAGCATGCTGGTCTAAAAGCTGCATGAATGCTAGAGCACTAATAATAATGGCAGCTGTAAGCAACCATCATAAGCCTTTTAGTAGCAGCACTTTACGCTAAACGGCTAAACACTGGACACATGCTGCTGAATGATTGATGCTAATTTTGTGCTAGCTTCTAGTAACCAGATGAAAAACTGTGTTGCTGGTAAGTAGGTTTTGACTCATGATTGCTGGTTTAAGCTGAGTCTTACTGGTTGCGATGAGCTGGTTTAAGATGGTTATTTGTGGGTCAAGTGCTGTTCAGGACCAGCTTAGGGCAAGCTTAAAGGGTAGTTCACCCAATAATAAAACTTTACTCGCTATTTGATTTTTTTTAGACCTTTAGAGCTTTTTAAATCTGTTGAACACTAAAGAAGATATTTTGAGGACAGCTGAAAACCTGTAACCAATGATTTATTGGAAAACCATTACTATGGAGGTCAGCGGTTAGATTCAGCTTTTGTCAAAATACAACAGATGTGTGTGTTCAACAGATAAGAGAAAGTCAAACGGGTTTTGAACAAGTGAAATGTAAGTAAAGATATATAAATGGTGTTCATTTTTTGGTCCTTTTTAAAGCTTAAAGAGATAGTTCATCAAATAATGAAAGTTTACTCACTATGTACTCCCCCCTAAAGTGGTTATAAACCTTTAAAGGTGTGAAACAAGTCTACAGTGAGTACCTTACCAGTTTTTTTTTTCAACAATGCAATCTCCAGCTGCCATCTGCAGGCATTCTTAGACACTCCTTTGGTTTTAGTGTACATTTGTGTTTGTGATCAGAAGGTTGCTGGTTCGATTCTCACAAAAAAAGCTGTATATAAACATTTTGAAACTCTTACATGTTGTTCCAAACCTGAATTATTTCTTTTCACTCATATTCATTAGTTCATTAATTTTCATTCGGCTTAGTCCGGGGTCAACACAGCGAAATGAACCATCAACTATTTTGTTTAACTATTAAAACATGTGTTTTACCCTGCGGATACTCTTCCAGCCACAACCCAGTACTGGGAAACGCATATACACTCTCACATTCACAGTCATACACTATACGAACAATTTAGTGTACCCAGTTAACCTCTACCACATGTCTTTGGACTGTGGAGGAAACCCACACCAACACGGGGAGAACAGTCTGCTCCGATAAGGAGTTTTGTCGCCGATACAGAGTACTGATTTCTTATCATGGTGAGCACCCAGAATAGAATAAATTAGAAATGCTGCTTATAATTCCTTAAACATGTCTCTTATAACCATTAAGGTGTAAATATATCATGGCCAGAAGCAGCTTTACAGAAAATGATTCAATCCTTTATTTGACCTAGTGCCTTAGTTCCTCATTTATCAGTGGTCACCACAGTGGAATGAACCTCTACACAAAATTATAAATCATTTACCTCTTCATGTGTTGTGGCTGCTGAAGACTATGTATAGTATACATAGTATAATATGTAATATGTATAATATACAGGAGCGCATGTGCGTCGTCGGGCGAGGCAGTGGCGCAGTAGGTAGTGCTGTCGCCTCACAGCAAGAAGGTCGCTGGGTCACTGGTTCGAACCTCAGCTCAGTTGGTGTTTCTGTGTGGAGTTTGCATGTTCTCCCTGCCTTCGCGTGGGTTTCCTCTGGGTGCTCCGGTTTCCCCCACTGTCCAAAGACATGCAGTACAGGTGAATTGGGTAGGCTAAATTGTCCGTATTGTATGAGTGTGTGTGTCAATGTGTGTGTGTGGATGTTCCCAGAGATGGGTCGCGGCTGGAAGGGCATCCGCTGCGTAAAAACTTGCTGAATAAGTTAGCGGTTCATTCCGCTGTGGCGACCCCGGATTAATAAAGGGACTAAGCCGACAAGAAAATGAATGAATGTGCGTCATCCTATGCTTGTAAACTCATGAACAAACATGTGAGATGAGGTTAATGAGATCTGCCAGATTGGCGAGTACCGATCGAGTCAATAAATGTGATTATCAGCCGATACCAATCTTAGGCTGATAGATCGGAGCATCTTTAACGCAAAATCCACACAGAAATGCCAACTGGCCCAGCCAGGACTCTAACTAGCAAACCTCTTGTTGTGAGGCTACAATGCTAACCACTAAGCCACCGCGCCGTCTTTTTTTAATTTTATGTAACATAAAGTGTTTAAAAAAGTAAAAATGTGGTATTTGCTCTGGATTAAAGCATTGTCTAACTTTGCTCCATGTCATTGTGCACTACAGTATGTTTTCAATTGGAGGTGTGTCGACGCGCATCTACAAGGAGCGCCTGCAGGCAGAAGGGATGGGAGCGAATGACTTGGCCATCAAGTTCCTGAACCAGGACTATGAGGAGCTGAGAAGGGAGTGTGTGGAGAGTGGCAGGCTGTTTGAGGACCCTTGCTTTCCTGCAGTGCCCCAATCACTGGGCTTCAAGGAGCTCGCGCCAAACTCCTCCAAAACACGTGGTGTGAAGTGGATAAGACCCACTGTGAGTAACTACGGTTTATACAGTCCTTCTAGAGCTGCCAACAGCAACTAAACACACCTGAACCAGTTAATCAAGGTTATGCTACTGTAGGCATGATAGAAATTTCCCAACAGGTTTGAGATGAACTCTACAGGACAGTTGTCCTCCAGGAGCAGGGTTAGATAGTATGGTTTATAAACAGCATGTAAAGGCAATAAACCAGGAGTGCCCAAACTTTTTGGTATGAAGGGCCAAAAACTAAATATCATCGGTAGCTGTGGGCCAAAGATAAATATTCAAAGCTACTTTACATTACATTTGCCATGGGTAATTTCTTAATTCCTTTCATAATATTAAAAAATAATAGGAAACATTACTTTTAATTAACTATGCAGTATAACCTTTTTAATTATAACTCTAAATTATACTAAGGCTCTGCATTCTCCTCTATGTGTTATACATTTTAAACTAAATCTGATTCATTTACACCAATTAAATTGAAACGTCTAATTTCAGATAGCTTTTTATATGTAGCTTAATAATAAAAAAAAACAAAAAAAGGGTACATTAAATTTGAAATGGCAGTCTCTAAACTATTCTCAGATGGGATGGTGGGCTAGTTCAAAGATTACCTTGGCCCAACTTTGGCCTTCGGGCCCTAGTTTGGGCATCTCTGCACTAAACTGTTTTAATTTATTTTTGACACTGATTGGGGAACGAAGACAGTATAGGAAGTAGGAGGCCTTAGATCAATAAATTACATGAGGTAGATTCCCATTTAAGAAGGTGCAGCAGCTTGTGCTGACTAGTAAATTAAGTGTCGTGTTTAAGTTTTAGCCCAATTTGACTCCTTATTTGACTGGTACAGTAAAGAGAAGATGATAAATTAGGAGATACAAGATCAATAAATTACATGATTTACTTCACCCCTAAAATTTTTACTAATTATTATTGTTATTAATTAAACAACTTCATGTTGTTCCAATCACCCGAGCATTTCAATCAATTTTGCAGGACAAATTAAAGTATTTTAGATGAAAAATCCATAAAAGTACCAAAGATTTTCTCAAAACAGACAAAATGCCTTCAGTGGCTTGATCAGAATATTATCAAGCAATAAGACAATAAGACACCCAAAGAATTTCTATTATTAATTAAACAACTTTGTTTCATTCCAAACACTTTTCATTCACCTTTGGAGCACAAATTAATGTATTTAGATAACATCTGAGAGCTCCCTCGTCCTTCATAAACAGCAAGATTCCTCATTTGTGCAAAGTCCATAAAACATCTGTAAAAACATCCTCAAAACAGACAATATGCCTATAGTGGTTTACTCAGAATATTATCAAGTTATGAGAATACTTTTGTGTGCACTTAATAGTGACTTTATTTAGCAGTTTCTTTTTGTCAGTGTGAGTTTATCCCATGCTTTCTTAAGCACTGCGCAGTGATGCATACTTTAAGTCTAGTGTTTAATTTTTAGCCCAGTTTTACATGCTACTTTATTAGTCTAGTAAAGTAGGAAAAGTTACAGGATCAAGATGACATGATCACATGATCGCAGTGACGTATACGTCTAGTGTTTAATTTTTAGCCCAGTAAGTTATTAGTATAGTATGTTAAGTTACAGAATCAAGATGACATGATCTAGAACAGAGGTCACCAAACTTGTTCCTGGAGAGCTGGTGTCCTGCTGAGTTTAGTTCCAACCCTAATCAAACACAACTGAACCACCTTAATAAGGTCTTACAACTTAAAGAAATTAAGAAATGACATGAGTTACTCCACCCAGAAGTTTTCTGTTATTATTTAATCAATTTTATGTCATTCCAAACACTTGGAGCAAAAATCTTTAGTGCAAAAATTAAGGTAATTTATATGAAATGTGAGAGCTCCCTCATCCTTCTTAGACAGCAAGGTAGCTTGTGCAAAGTCCTTAAAGGAACCAAAAACATCCTCAAAACAGATAATATGCCTTCAGTAGTTCAATCAGAATATTATTAAGCTACTTTTGAATACTTTTGTGCTCACTTAATAATGACTTTATTCAGCAGTTTCTTCTCATCAGTGTGAGTATATTGCACACTTTCATGAGCACCGCGCAGTGACGTATACGTCTAGTGTTTAATGTTTAGCCCAGTAAGTTATTAGTATAGTAAATTATGTTAAGTTACAGGATCAAGATGACATGATCTAGACCAGAGGTCACCAAACTTGTTCCTGAAGGGCTGGTGTCCTGCAGAGTTTAGCTCCAACTCTAATCAAACACAACTGAACCAGCTAATCAAGGTCTTAATAGGTATTCTTGAAACTTTCTGGCAGGTGTGTTGTGGCAAGTTGAAGCCAAACACTGCCGGGACAAAATTGGTGACCCTCAATCTAGACTCAAACTTCTATTTCCCACATGAAAATTAATAAGACATAGCTCAAAACTACAAAAACATAGCTTGTTTTTTATAGGGATAGATAGCAAACAGATAGCTATTTGTCACCTTAATTGATTGTTGTAGCAAAGATAGTAGGACAGTAAGTTAAGAAGATCAAAAAATGACATTAGCTACATCTCTCATTTCACATAAGAGATCCAAGGTGAAACGCCTAATGTTAATTACTGACAGAAGGCTTGTCTATTAATTTTTGACAGTTTTATTGATTGGGAGAGTAAAGAAAGACCAGGAAATTGAGTGAAAGGGTCAAGATTGAGAAATTACATGAGCTAGATTCTTTTATCACTTGAGGAACGAACATCAAGAGTTGGTGCCAGCTACAAATTTCAGCAGTGTGCAGTTGAATTACCTTTTGATTGAAAAATGAATTTTCCTTTATTTGGTTTCTTTACACATTAACTTAAACGTCATTGTTTAATTCCTTCAGACTAGCAATCTGACCAGTGAATCTTTAGCATTTTACATGAAAACACAGACAAGTATTGCAGACAAGTGTTACAAATGTTGTTGTATTTGCTTTCTTAATGTCTGCAGGAGCTGTCAGAGAATCCTCAGTTTATAGTGGGCGGAGCCACGCGTACAGATATTTGCCAGGGGGCCCTAGGTGTGTATTCACTGCATACAGCTGGGTGTGTATGTTTGTTGCATGCTTGCACACGTTGGCGCAACAAACGTCGTTAACTTTATTTGTGGTTCACTGCAGTTTGAGTGATCCTGCAGCTTAAACTATGACCTTCACCAAAACTGTCACACAAAAACGTTCTCAAGAACATAATTTGGCTTAAAATGTTTGAGATAGATAAATAGACAGACAGACAGACAGACAGACAGACAGACAGACAGACCGACAGACAGACAGACAGACAAGCAGACAATCGAAATAATGGAGGCTGAATAGACTTACGGACACTTTATCAGCCAATTAGAAGCCAGAACTGGATCTCCTTCTGTTTGAATGATATAATTTGGCTTTTTAAAAGTTTGTTTTATGAATGAACTGATGACAAATCCCACTTAGTCTAAATCTGATTCATTACACCACTATGATCACATTCTTTGTGTTTTTATTGACTTAGAGAGGAAATGTGTGTTACGGGTGCAGATGAGTGAGTGTATCTGTGTGTGCATTTAAGTGTGTGTGTGTGTGGCTAAACACAATGGCTGAGTGATGAGTCACAGAGACATGGGTGTAGCTCTGGCGAACTCTGGGATAGCTGGCTGCAGTCCACAGCTCACGGTATATGTGTGTTTGTGTGTGAGCATGAGAGTGTTCGCTCTTCATTGCCAAACAAAGTTTGTACAGCAAACAGTGGGTGGAGGACGATTGGGGAGCTTATGACTGAAATACATTTTAACTTACAGTAAGCAAACACATTAAAGCTCATGGTGTGCTTAAAGCCTCCAAATTGGTTTAGCTTTGAAAAGGGCGTTTGAGATAAAACAGCATTCATCTAGAGTAAATGTTCAGTACTGAAGAACATTGTGCTGCTATCTCTGTGTACAAACAGTCTCCTCCCACTGTATGGCTGTAGGTGGAGGGCTCCCCCTAATGGGTCATTATAGTACAGGCTAATATTTACCATTGTAAAATATTACATTTTAATGAGCAATCACAGTTATTACAGTTATTATGAATGGGCCATTTTTCCATCTACGGGCACTTTTAGCCTTGTGAAGTTGAGTAAAAAAACTGGTTCAAAATTAATGTAACATAAGTTTAAACAATTTAAGATCTGTAAGAGGACAAACTTAGATAAGAAGAGAAAAAATGTTTCCATCGTGAACTGAACAAATGTCAACTCCACCACATCTCAATATACAGCTTTTATTTCAAAATAAAATAAATTATGGCAGTCAAACATTGTCTAAAATCATTTTTGATCAATAATAATTTGATTAAGAGCTTATTTGAAAATAAATAAACTGAATTTGTATATTAAATAGAGCATTAACTCATCAATTGTGAATACACTTTTAATGTGTGATTTTTATATTTATACAGTTGAATTTTTAAATATAAAGTTGAATTATTAGCGCCCCTGTTTATTTTTTCCCCAATTTCTGTTCTGTTCTGGGAAGATTGTTTCAGCACATTTCTAAGCATAATAGTTTTAAAAACTTATGTCTAATAACTGATTTATTTTATCTTTGCCATGATGACAGTAAATAATATTTTACTAGATATTTTTTAAGACACTTCTATACAGCTTAAAGTGACATTAAAAGGCTTAACTAGGTTAATAAGGTGAACTAGGCAGATTAGGGTAATTAGTCAAGTTATTGTATAACGATGTTGTGTTCTGTAGATTATCGAAAAAAAAAATAGCAGGGGCTAATAATTTTGTCCCAAAAATGATTTTTTTTTTAAATAATAACTGTTTTTATTCTAGCCGAAATAAAACAAATAAGAATTTCTCCAGAAGAAAAAATATTATCAGACATACTGTGAAAATTTCATTGCTCTGTTAAAAATCATTTCAAAAATATTTAATAAATAAAATTAAAATCAAAAGGGGGCTAATAATTCTGACTTCAACTGTATATATATATATATATATATATATATATTTTAATATTGTGTGTGGTGATGGAAATGACAGTGGTGGAAATTACATTTCAACAGATGAAAAATAGCTTCACCGATTAGCTTTAAATTGATACTAGCCTTTCATGTATACAAAACACTTTTACTTACCATTTTGTTTGGTTTTTAAAAACATCTCTGAAGGTACAACATGTTTGGAAATGACATACAGTACATGTATTTCCAATATTTACCTTGATTTTTCTTTAAGTGTTGTTGATAAAAATGTAAATTCCCTCCATCTTGAACATGTTCTCAGATGGCTCTATTCATCTATCTATGATAATAGTCTCACATTATTAACTATAAAATATTTAAATGACTTCACTTGTGCTTCATTAAGATACATTAATAGATACCAGATAAACAATATTTTAAAATGTTATTTTTATTGCTAAAGTTTAAAACTCTGGGTGTGCGACAAACAGTGATTTCGACGCCTAAAAGAAGGTTGAATAATATGAAAAAATATATAATAGAAAGGTAGTTATTTTTCAAAGTAGGTTTTATTGTCAGTTTGACAAGGAAAGAAAAATTTGTACAAAATATTAATATTTTTGGATATATGATCGAAGGACATAAAATTCCCGTAGTTGAAGAATTACCCTTATACAGTTTAAGCCTTCTAAACTTAATTATTTTTAAATTGTATGAAATGAATGGAAAAAAAACATTTAAAGCTCAATTCGTGATGCTATGTATGTCATTTTTTTCATTTGTCGTCAAAAGTAATCAAAAATAATACCTGTGTTTGAGATTTCAGCACTTCTCATCCGCCATTGGTCAGCCATATATAGTCAGGTTCAGCAGGTGCTAATATATCAGCTAATTTAGGAAGTCAATCTCTGCATGTCTAATTAGCTTAAACAATAGTGCCTTATCCTTCCAATGTAAACAAATGTCTTGCTTGTGTTAACTTTTGTATATTTAGGTGACTGTTGGCTTTTGGCTGCCATAGCGTCGTTGACATTAAACGACAAGCTGCTTCACAGAGTTGTACCACATGGGCAAAGCTTTACAAATGAGTATGCTGGAATCTTCCACTTCCAGGTGAGCAGCTGAATGACTGTACATCTATATATTATATAAAATCATGCTATACATCTTAATTATTATGTATATTTCTTTTTAAAAAATGTTATTTAGTGTAAATTTAGCTATTTTCTTACAACCTACTTCCAACACACTTTTAAATTGAAATGAGATTGTATGGTGTGGGTAGCAATATATCTTGCTTGTTTTTTACCGAGCTATGTTTGGAAGTCTTATTCGCTATGGAATCACACTCTGGATTGGAAATCTGTCTGTTCAATTGAAAAATAAATTTGGTTCATATTCCAAAAACGAGCCCATACAGACTCGGCCATGAGAAGAGCAATTAATATTAGTGTTAAATCTAAACATCCTCTTTTCAGTGAATATCAGCTGTTACCATCAGGAAAAAACTGAGAATGCCAATGGGTAAAACCAATAGATTGAAGCTTTCATTTGTTCCTACCTTGATAAAACTGTTGAACTCCACCAAGAACACTGCACCTGTAGTACATTAGCACCTGACTGTATTCTGTGCTCTATATATATTTCATATTTATATATTTATATATGGTCTTAGTCTGTAAACAATGTCTGTTCTTAATTGTTTGTTCTTAATTGTTATTTTTTGTTTTATTTATTGTCTGCCTAGTGCAGGGGTGGGCAAACTCGGTCCTGGAGGGCCGGTGTCCTGCACAGTTTAGCTCCAGCTCTAATCACACACACCTGCTTATAGATTTCTAGTGATCTTGAAGACACTGATTAGTTTGTTCAGGTGTGTTTGACTAGTATTGGAACAAAACTCTGCAGGGACACCGGCCCTCGAGGATCAAGTTTGCCCATATATATATTCCTCTCGGAGACATTATTCTATATCCTATCTTAAATAGTCAAATCTGCCTCCATCCAATCAATAACCAGTGTATAGAATGAAGCAGCTATCATATATAAAGGCTTGTGCACATCAGGATTTTTGTTTTACAAGGTTTTTGGGGAGGCAATTTTGGCTGAGCAAAGCAGAATATTGTGCAAAATCACTACCTGATGTTAGCTAGCGCTTAATGAAAAACAGAAATTCCTCCCCATAATGACTCCCTCTTGTGGACATTTTTGTACTTGCTGTCGTGTTTGTCAAACAGTTTTTTTTTGTGTTGAGACACAGATGACAAAAACATTCATCTTGCCTTAATGCTTTTTCGTCATTATGATTGTGTGTGCTCATCTAGACCATTTTGTGCATCACCAAGTTGTGTTTTATTGTAATTTTAGCAGGTCCAGGCGTGTTTACAAAACTGATAATCTCATTGGTTGACCAGGGGCCGGTTGCACCATTAGTTGTAAGTTAAATCGCATCCTAGTTAAAGGGACACTAAGTCACTACTTACACAATACTAAATATTTTTGTGTTGCACCACTGAACTTAGTTTAAACGTAACACTACAATCCAACAAAATATTTATGGCATTTAAATATTAATGTATAATGGTGGAAAAGAAATGACAGCAAGATTAGTTTACAGTAAGGAGCTTGCGATGATAATGAACAATGATCTCCCCATACTCACAGCTTTAATATATGTGCATCGTCTGTTATTACTGACTGACTGTAATTTAATGTGCTATAAAAATGTGATTTATAATTTCATTTTCATAGGACAGTTATATATAGAAACATTAGTTGCAGAATTTTAAAGCAGTTTAGAGTTCAGACTGCATGATTTTCAAAGTAGTCGTTTCACACTGAATCACTCTCTGGGCTAGCGTTTTGTCGCTGCTTTGTTACACTGCTTGATAGATCGACGACAGGAGGTTTCACACTGTACAATCGGAAGAATCGCCGACAACTTTGTTCAAACTACGTCTCACAATCAAAAACACGTAGTATATCTTTTGTTATTACTACATAATGAGAATGAAGCCTTTAGTGGGGTAAAAAATGTGCATATTTGCTCAGCTGGGTTTAAAGGGAATTAGCAATTTCTCCTCAACTTTTTTCCTTTTTGACCTGGTTGTAATATTGATCACATGACATGTCAAACAGACACAGTGCTCCTGCCAAATTTCCACTGGTTTTTCCTCCACTTCTTGGGTCTAAATAAACTGAAAATGAGCGCTTTTAACTTCTCCCTCAACCTCCTGCTGGCCTGCAGATACCCACACTAGTGGATGCTGCTCTCTCATTGGATGTAGGTGAGGATCGCCAATGTTATTTTCAGTCAAAACACATTTCACACGACATGATTTGAATCGCAGATAGCTCCAGATATTTAGTATGCTAAATATTATTTAGTCCGACTACGCATGACTTTATGGAGAGCTCACGACCTACAGTACTTTCTACAGTTTGCCTTAAGAACAGGTGGTGCAACCGAAGTAAGAACAAATTTAGTTACTAACTAGCTTGTAGTTACTAAGTCCCTAGTGTCAACGTTTAGGAAAGAACTTATGATCAGCTGGTGCAACCCTACCCAGTTCCTTAGGTGGTGCATCAAACCAAAATTTTTTTGAAACATTATTCAATAGAAATGCTTTCACACTTGCCGTTTTGCTTGTTGGTGTGACCAGTCATATTGGTGTCTTTGATTTAGTCATGAGGCATTAAACGTCAGCAATGAGTGCAAGTGTGTACGGGATCATCCCAGTGTGTACGGGACTTAACAGAAACATGGTACATAGAGGTAACATGTATGGTACACCAGCTTATAATGTTTGCATACAATACACATCCTTATATTCAACTAAAATCAACGTATTTACACACAAAATTTGTTAGAAGTCTGAAAACACACTGTTTTGAAAACGTGTTTCAAAATGCTCATTTTGTTATCATCTCTATATAAATGACAGAAATGTGATTTAAGTTTTTATTTTTTTTCGGTGGCATCATGCACAGCAAGTGTTCATTTCATAAGCATGTACCATTACTTGACATCCGAAAACACAGATGCACAAACACAGACATGTGAAAAAAATTTAAGTCGCCACCTACTGGTGGATCATTTCATCTGTACGTAATGCTTAAAACATTGCACACAATACGAAAATGCAAATGTTATTACGTTGACATGCAAACATACCCTTACACTAATATCATATTTTATTATTATTATTTTTATCATTATTTATCATGACTTATTGAAGGCGATTGTTGTGCACATTTGTCTGTAAAGTCATTTCTGTAATCAGTATTAAATTTCCAGCACGGCTTTCAGATTGAGTACCATTTAGTCACAGTTCACTGACAAGCTATTCAAAATGCCATTTCATATCACAGATGATTTATGCATGATCTATGTTGTTGCTACATTTGAACACATGTAAAATGCCATATTAACATGTGTTTGCTCCAAACTTACCTTATAACTTCAATCAAGTGCTTGAAACGAATCCTTATGTAAGGTAATTTAGTAGTTGAGTGACTGCTAGTCACGTTGAATCAACGAAAGCAGTTACATTTTCTCATTATACAGTAGCTAGTTATTGCGATTTCCTGTTTTTTTTTTCTTTGTGGTGTATTTAAATACATGAGAGCGTCCTCTGGCCTTCATCGGAGATTTACTATTGACACAGAACAGTTTTTTTTTCCTGACAAGTTAATTTAAAATTATTGTGCAACCCTAACATAAACTATTTTTGCTCGTGTTGTGCAGTTCTGGCAGTTTGGCGAGTGGGTAGACATTGTAATCGATGACCGCTTGCCTGTGAAGGATAAAGAGCTGATGTTTGTTCACTCAGCAGAGGGAAATGAGTTCTGGAGCGCCCTGCTGGAGAAGGCATATGCTAAGTAAGGCCTTTTTCTTCTCTCTTCTTTATCTGTATGACGATTATAGGCTCATTCAAAATTGCCTTCTACTCAGTAGGTACTACATCTGAATTTGAATTTACTACATGAACGTTAGAAAAGTACATGCTATATAGTATGAATTCGAGTTGTTGTTGGAACTCGAATGTACTACATCTGCCACTTTTTCAAGTTCACGTGACCTATCCTGGTTAGTTGCGTCGTGTGGGGGAAAAGGATTTATATATGTTACTTTTATGTCCTTATTTTTTATTGAATAAAGAGTTTAGACTTACAAAAAATTTATCAAACTTTTTCTCTTGTATGATACCATATATTAACCAAACATACTTCTTCTTTCTTACTGTGTTATATAATTGTAATGTAATGTAATGTAATGTAATGTGTATTTTTATAGCGCATTTATTGTGTATGGCCATACACCCAAAGTGCTTCACAATCATGAGGGGGGTCTCTCCACACCACCACCAGTGTGCAGCATCCACTTGGATGATGCGACGGCAGCCACAGGACAACGGCGCCAGTGCGCTCACCACACACCAGCTATTGGTGAAGTGGAGAGACAGTGATAGAGCCAATTCGGTGGAAGGGGATGATTGGGAGGCCATGATCGTAAGGGCCGATAGAGGGACTTTTGGCCAGGACACATACTACTTAGAAAGAACTGCTGACTAAAGGAAAATAGCAGAATAATAATAAATGTAGTGTGGGGGGCCTTTTGCCAGACTTCTGTCTGACAAAAAAATGTAGGCATGTCACAAGGAGTTGGATGCTTGTAGAAGTTGTAAAATATATTGAACTGTTCAGTTCTGGTATGCAGAAAAGGGTTGCAGAAAGAGGAAGTATGTTTGGGTGCAACAGCCAAAGGACTGCAGAATGACTGATAAGTGATGTTACACCAAAACTCCACTTGTTAATATCAGTTGTGCATATATGCTGGAGTCAGAGAAACGTAAACCAGTTGTGAACCTCCTGAATGTAATTTTTGTATTGCATTGAGATAACGTAACCCAGAGCTCTGTCCTTGAATTATAGTATCAAATAAATTACTAATATTTTTGGCAATAATTAGACAACCCTCTCCTCACCTTTTTTATTGAACATGCATGGAATTGGCTAGATATTCCAACAGTTGCCTCACTGCCATTCATGAGTTCTCCCGGATTCAGTGCATTCCATTAGATGCACACTTCAGAATCTCGCTGAAAGTAGTAGGTCATCCGGATACTTCTTGCATACTGTTTTTCAAATTCCATGAAATTAGACATAGTACTCTGCTTGCACACTGTTTTTAGCATACTATAGTATGGAAATATGCTATTTCAGACACAGCGTTAGTGATTATAACATGTTTATGTGCCTGTAGGCTAAATGGCTCATATGAAGCTCTGTCCGGAGGTTCCACCACCGAAGGCTTTGAGGACTTTACTGGCGGAGTTGCCGAAATGTATGAACTGCGCAGCGCTCCCAAAGACCTGCACCGCATCATTGCCAAAGCCCTGGAGAGAGGCTCACTGCTGGGCTGCTCCATTGATGTAAGTCCTCACAGTGCCTCCTAGAGGACTGAAGATGTAATGCAACATTTCTGGATGGCCAGTTTGGTTGAGTGTGTTTGTTTTTGATAGATCACCAGTGCCTTTGACATGGAGGCTGTGACCTTTAAGAAGCTAGTGAAGGGCCATGCTTACTCCGTCACAGCTCTCAGAGAGGTCAGGATCCCTCCTTTAAAATACATTTTCAGCTCATTGGTTGTTTATTATTCATTTGCGTGAAAAGGTTGCTGTTTTAATTTAAGGTGAATTTCCGTGGCAACAGAGAGAGATTGATCCGTATCCGAAACCCTTGGGGACAAGTTGAATGGACTGGGGCTTGGAGCGACAAGTAAGTCGACCAATCAGAATGAATTTGGGTAGTCATGAATAGCAAAACATGCTTATCATACTATAATTTTTGCACTCCGATTTCAGTTCGTCCGAGTGGAATGGGATTGATCCATCGGAAAGAGAGGAACTGAACAACCACATGGAGGATGGCGAGTTTTGGTAAATCTATCTCATCCACAGATGTTTATATTGTTTACATCTTTTACTTAATCCTCTGTTAGCCCAGAGAGTCAATTATTAAAAAGAATTATTCTATAATTTTCAAATCTCGAGAATCAAGAGTTGACTCTAAAGTTTTTTCAATACTCTAGAGTAAATTAAAAGGCTTACAATGTTTAATTATCAGACTACTATTTATCCTAGAAGAGCGCTAAAGATTAGTAATGAAGATTTTGATTCATCCAAGTCACTTTGTTCACAAAGACTGTCTAGGAGTCACCAACTGATTCATTCATTAACTCTTTCTTTAGTGTACAAACAAAATTAAGACTCTCCATCAGTTCCAAAAATGAAACAATTACACATTCCTTTAAAAGTGTGAATTTCAGTTGGCATATATGACTGAATTTGTTCTCAGGATGTCATTTCAGGAGTTCAAACGTCAGTTTTCTCGTCTGGAGATCTGCAACCTCACTCCTGATGCTCTGAGTGATGATTCCCAACATTTCTGGAACACAATTCAGTTTAACGGCACTTGGAGGAAAGGAAGTACAGCAGGAGGCTGCAGGAACAATCCCAGTGAGTCTTAGTTTATCAGCTATGGTCTAATATATACATGAGCTGTATGCCAAACCAATCCCTATCCACTATGATTTACTGAAGAGAAATACCAAAAAAAATAACACAACTGATTAAAAGATCGCGATGACATATGATTATGTGTGCAGGTGTTGTAGTGGTGTCCTGTTTCTTAGGGCTAAATTTTGAAGCCCTTCTCCTTCGCACCCTGTTTCAAGGGCCAAAGGGAAGGGGTACAAAAATAGAATTGGGCTTGGGCCTAAGTCAGCCATTTTGTAGTGCTGTTGTAGTAAATACCTTATTTCCTTACATTTGTTGACTACTTTTTACCCACAATCCACTCTGATTTCACATGTGTATTTTCAGTGTAAACTCGCCACAACAACATTTCACAAAATACACCATGAGAAAAAGAGACAAACACTGGAGGCGGCAAATTTTATTTACAATTTCAGCCAGGATTACATCAAGAGCCAGAGAAAATAACAAATAACAGATTTAGTTTCAGATATTAGTTTGGTTTATAACGTATTAGTTTATTTGTCATTAATTTTATTGTTTAAAATGTCATCTTAGATTTATGTAAAAATTTTATGAACAAATGTAAAAATTTTATTTTTACTTTAAAATATAATTAAAAGGTAAAAAAGCAGCAAGCAAAAAGTAGGTGTTTTTTTTCCTCATTTTGTTACCGAAGAATAAAATAAATCAGACAAATAGAATGTGACATTCAGTCCATAGAGCGAAGAAATCCAAGGAAATTTTACTGGATTTTACTTGACAAAAATGTAAAGTTACTCACCATTTACTCACTCTTCATTTGTTTCAAACATATGTAAGTTTTTTTTCTTCTGTTGAGTACAATAGAAGATTTTTTGAAGAAAGCTGGAAACTGTAACCATTGACTTCCATAGCATTTGTTTTGGAAGTCATTAGCTACAGGATTTCAGCTTTCTTCAAAATATCTTTTTTTAGTATATAACAGAAAAAATAAACTTATAAAGGTTGAGCTTGACCTACTTTGACCACTTTCAAAAGTAGTCTAAAATGGATTTGACCAGTGAAAAATAAATAGATTTTACTAGTGAAGTGCCTGAAAGTGGACAGAAGAAGAAAAAAAACAGGTGTCATCTACTTGTGATAGGATTACCCAAAACAAATCTTCAACACTCATTCTGAAAAAGTAGCCCTATATACATTTCTGGAGATTGCGAATTATGCAGCCAGAACTACACATGGCTGCATTTCATCATTGAAACGAATGCTATGGGGCAGTATGAGGCAGTTCCTTTTTGTGCTTACCAGATGACCACTTACCTCTGTATGGACGGCTTTCCCGCTGTCACCAGGTTGTTCAGTAGCTCACCATGTATGTTGGTGGACCTGAGACTCGGAGAGGAGTTGACCACTAGGACAGGGTTCGAGTCAGGTAAAGAACGGTTTCAGAAAGGGTGTAAGACAGAAACAGAAGCCAACTAAACAAGTAAATAACAGGGTGAAAATGTGATCAAATCTGAAAATATGGTAAAAATCAGGCGAGGGCTTTACTTTTTCTGAATTGCTTATCAAAACACTGTGGATTGGGTTTAGGGAAGTGGGTGGATGGGTCAATATGTGCTTTTGAAAATACTATTGGTTGGGTTTAGGGAAGGAGGAGGGTGGGTCAGTCGATCGGCCAGTCAGTCAGTAAGTCAGTCAGTCGGCAGTAGCCTTTGGTGGATTTACGTGTGAACAGCAGCCACGAAGGGCACTCGTGACAGAAATTTGAGATTTTAAAAAAGCATACAAAGTGGCCTCTGGTGTATTTGTGAAAACAAAAACTGCAAAAAAACATACATGTTGGGACATATTTGGTGCTCTCCATAAATGTATATAGCGGTATGATTTCAGAATGAGCAAGGGTTGCAAATCTTAGTACGAGGTGTAAACATACGCTTTGTTTGTTGTCTCTTTTGTAAGACACATTCTGGATAAACCCTCAATATAAGATCACACTACTGGAGGAAGATGATGATCCTGAGGACAATGAGGTGGCCTGCACCTTCATGGTGGCTTTGATGCAGAAGGACAGACGGCGTTTCCGCAAGCAGGGACAGGACATGCACACCATCGGCTTCGCCTTATATGAGGTTGGAGGTCATAAGCTGACATAGAACAGTCACACACATTTAAAAGTACCATGATTTTGTCTAATTTATTTATTCCTGTTTTTTCTCATTTCTAGGTCCCAGATGAGGTATGGCACGTTTAACACTATATGAATCGAAAGTTTGAAATTCAAATTAAAAAAATTGTATGTAAAATGCTGAGGCGTCATTCAGATATGTGTAAACAGGACGTTTCGGAGACTTTTATTTCAGTGTATTGATGTACTTCAAACTGAAATGGAATATTGAGTAGTGGCGGGCATTTCTTTTTCGCATAATTCGCTTGTTGCAAACTAATGGCATTAGGGGCATGGTTAAGAATATGGACTCACCATGTGGTTAGGCAGTGTTGTCAACTTGGATTTAGCTAAAAAAAAATTCAAAAAGCACCTAGCAACAAATTCTGCAATTTTTAACATTTGCTTTTAAAAAGTGTCTCAAATCAAAAGTGCAGTTGTGACCAAATACTGGTCTAAATAGCTGGGCACAGAAGATGCAGCAGCAGCCAATAGTATGTTTCTGCACAACCAGAGAGGATGGAAGGTATTTTAAGATCCTGTTGTTCCTGACCTGTTCAGTAAAGGGTTTAGGGGTAGGGCCATAATAAATCCTAAAAATGCAGTCATGAAACTGTAGTCTCTCTTTTTATGCTAGAACACCAGCAGTATTTGTTGGCCTGCATATTTTTGGTGAAATAAATAAAACCATAACTAAACAATTGTTTGATGCAACAGTTGTCAATTTGTCACTAACATGTATAATTGTTGTTCATTTAGGTAGCACTAACTACCAATACAGTGCTCTAACTGAACATTCACATAATGTTTCTGCTGAAAGGCCATTCTTTGAGAAAACTCATTTATTATTTTGCACACTACATAAAGATGCAGTTTTGTGTTGTGATTACACAATGACGTCATCATACAATGATATCACGTCATTTAACAACTTTTAGTAACACATTGCTTCACCTTTTGCAAATTCAAAACCAGTAGTTGGCAACAGTGTGATTGGGATTAGAAGGTAAGTTAGGTTAAGGTTAATTATGCAAAAATAAATTTTAATTACTATAGTACATACATGGAACATGTAACAAGGGCACTTTAAAATGAAGTGTTACCCAATTATTTTTCAAATCTGTTTGGTGATGCAGCAGTTTTATTTTTGAATGTATTGTAAAACATGAGGTTAATAATTTAAAAAACTTTTACTTTTCTTCTGTTTTTAGTTTCTTGGCTCCCAGAATGTTCACCTGAAGAAGGATTTTTTCTTGCGTCACTCGTCCTGTGCACGCTCCGAGACCTTTATTAATCTGCGAGAGGTGAGCACGCGACTGAGGCTGCCACCGGGCGAGTATCTCATTGTCCCTTCCACTTTTGAGCCTGGAAAAGAGGCTGACTTCGTCCTGCGAGTATTCACTGAGAAACAGTCAGAAACTCAGTAAGTGACTAAACGATTAAAACTAAAATAACAATAGTATTATAGATAAAATATTTTTAAAAATGACTACCATGTGGGTTTTGTATTGTGCAGCCTTATTTTACGACATATTTTGCTTTTTCTTTTATTTTTAGAGAAATGGATGATGAAATTTCATTTAACCTGGAAGATGAAGTAAGGACTTGTTATTATTGTGGATGTGGAAACTAAATGCATGTATGTATGTAAATATATAGATTTATATACTGTACAAATCAACTACCTAGAAAGGCTCTACTACATACCTAGCAACCCCTTAGCAACACAACAGATATACTTTTAACACTTTAATACTTTCTCTCAGAACACATTAATAACTAAACAAAGTCAGCACATTAAACTTTTCAAAACAAAGCAATACGATCATTTAGAACAACATAGCAACATAATAAATCCCTTAGCACACTAAAGCCCCGGTCAGATAACACGATTTTTATTGTTGATTATGAAAGTCACTGTCAGATTACGCTTTTTTTTTTTTTCTTGATAAAATCTTGACGTGTCGTGGGTAACAAATGTGCCAGACTATCGACCTTATTCTTCAATGCTGACGTGAGCTCGATTTCACGATTGTTTTAGAACTTCCGATTCAGCTGCCTATGGGAGAAATTACTAGGAATAGTAAACTGCAGAAAATGACTAAACCACTTGCTCTAAAACAAGTGTTTGCACGACTAAACAGACAAAGCAGAAGCATATAATAAGAAAATTTGCAATATCAAGCAGCAAAACCAACAGTTTTTAACGTTTAAAAATGAATGGAAATGAATCGAAGCTTGCAGACAATGAATAACTACATTATTTAAGGGCCTTCATTACAACATGGATTGGAAAAAACTTATAAATCCTTTTCAATATTAAGATATTTTCTTTGAAATTAAATGTATATTTTCCTGCCATGTGTTTTTTAATAAACACTCCCTTGAAAATGAAAGTGAAAATGAAAATGAAAGAAGCAAGGAAAAATCAGATGCTCAAGATGTAATCTTGAGAAATAATGACATATTAATAAATTAGCAACTATATCCAGGGTTCATACACATTTTACCTACTAAAATTCCATCAATTTTCCATGATTTTTCCAAGATTTTCAAGTAAATTTTCATGACCTAATGTTTCATGCAGTGTCTACATATGCAGGGTAAAAGAAAAACAACGCATGTTAAAATATTTGACAGCATATCGTAAAACACGCTGCAATCTATTTAGTTTCAATTTATATTTTTATCTATTTAAAATTTATTTAGATAATGCTTACACCAGAATAGAATAGAAGTCAAGACAACTTTACTTCAGGACGCATTAATGCCGCTCTATAGGTCTATTGGAGAGATTCAGAAATATTCTTAGCAAATCTAGTGAATGTTGGAAACATCCTCGTTACATAAACGCACTAAATCACTCTTCAGAAGTGTTTATTTGAGAGTGCACAAGAGAATCTGCACTTAGGCAGCGTATATTTGAGGGCGTGCAAGAAGTTTTGTGCACGAACAGAGGAAATCGGTGCGAAAGCAAAGACATTTGCTTGCTCATATTACATAAATGTGATCTTGACTTGTGATAATGCACTAACGACATTTGTCATAGAAATAACGCCATAGGTAGTTGGTAGATCTGTGCAAAATGCCTGCCGCAACAGCTGGAAAAAATCCTAGAGGAAACACTCTAATCCATATTCAAGAATTCAGATATTTGTTTTCCATGACTTTTCCAAAACTTTGTAGGTTTTTCTGTTTTTCCAAACTTTTACAGGTCTGGAAAATGCCAGGTTAATATTCCATAACTTTTCCAGGTTTTCCATGGCGTATAAACCCTGTATATAACTGAGATTTGTGATACAACAATCACAGTGAAGCATTTATTTATTGCTTTTTTCCTCAGAACAAAACAAATCATCCACCCATATAGTTGAGTAGTGGGGGGGCACAAACAAAAATTTAATTCGTATATTTTTCCTGGAAAAAAATATCTTTTTGAAATTAATTTTATTTCAACTTAATTTTATTAACTTAATTTTAATGTATCTTTTGTTGATCAGTTTTCTATAAACAAGAATAATAAATGACATTTGAGGAGAAGCGCTTCAAAACAAGTCTGCTCTATATGCTTCAGCACAAAAACACGAATTTCTATGAGATTGTGTTGGTTTGTTAAATAAAATAATAATTTAGCCTAAATAAAACTAAAGTGAAATATTCATAGTTTCAGAGAAGACTATATTAAACTGTTTTCAATATTAATAACTAATCTTAATAAGCAGGACATGCTTTTGCAATGTATTCGCAGCACTGAACTTGTTTCCAGATTACCTCGGAAGAACAAACTCTGTTGGAAGGATGAGAGTACTCAGAAACTCATCGTGAGAATGGAGATGTCTGCATATTTGTGCCAGTCTGTCAGATAAAAATGCTTAAAACACCTTAATATTTTAGATTTAAATTAAAATTTGCATAACCAACGACTGATCTACTCGGGACTCGCCCGTAAGCAAATATGCAGCCTATTTTTTGACTATCTGACCATCGCTTTAACAGCAGCATCCGTGAATATAACCAAGAAACTACCCAATTACTGTGTCACCCATGTGACGGAACTCGTCGTGAAGAACAAGAAAAAAATCTGCGATGGTGTCATGAGGTGTCACAGACATGGTATTAGTTGACATGAACTTTGCCACATTACACAAGAAAAAAAGATTGAATCTTGTGACAAGATGCTCATTTGTCATTTACGAATCCCCACGACACCTTACTGTACGTCAAGGAAATCGTGCCGAAATTCTGACAAATTTGTGTGATTTGACTGGGGCTTAAAGCTACCACACTGCAACACAATAAAACACTTAGCACACCATAACAACCACATAGCATCACTATAAATCACTTAGCACACCATAGTGACCACATAACATAACAATATAATTCTTTCAACTTCTTAGCAACCAGGGCTGCAGCTCTGCATAGTTCAGCTCCAACCCACACCTGCTTAATAGTCTCTAGTAATCTTGAACACCTTCATTAGTTGGATCAGCTGTGTTTGATTAGGGTTGGAGCAAAACTGTGCAGAGCAGCGGCCCTCCAGGAATCCAGTTTAAGACTCATACCTTACCACAATATTCAGATTAAAAATGAAACGAAATGTATTATAATACAGTGTATGGACGTCTGTTGTATCTACAGGAGGCAGTCTCAGAGGAGAACATTGATGCCTCGTTTAAAAAGATGTTTGCTCAGCTGTCTGGAGAGGTGTGTTTGTATCTGTGTGATATTGTTAATAACATTGTGAACTGCGTTATATTAAAAGTTCATCTAAACTTGTAGGACATGGAGATTTCAGTTCACGAGCTCCGGACCATTCTGAACCGAGTGATGACAAAACGTAAGCTCAGAGGACGTTTTTAAAAAATTCAGATCTGATGTGTTTACATTTTTGTGCTCGATAATTACCTCTGCTCTCCTGTGTTCTGCAGACCGAGACTTAAAGACAGATGGGTTCAGTTTGGAGTCTTGTAGGTGCATGATCAACCTGATGGACGTATCCTAACATTCTGACTTTTAAAAACGTATAAATAGCATATATACTTTCACCTTGCTAGTACCACTTTTTGCATTCAGAAGAGCATTTGGGGCACAGATTCCAGAATGTAATGGAAACATTCCTCAAAGATTTGAGTCCAAATTGCACTGACAACATAAGATTCAAATTCCAATTCTTCCAGTGAACTGTTTATACAAGACAGGTTTGCCAAGTCAAGTTAAGTATTATTGTCCGTCTTTAAGGTCACAAGGTACAGTATAGTGAATTGTTGTGTCTCACAGGACCACGGTGCTACATACTAATGAAACATTTATTCATTGATTCATTTTCTTGTCTGCTTAGTCCCTTTATTAATCCGGGGTCGCCACAGCAGAATGAACCGCCAACTTATCAAGCACAATTTTACGCAGCGGATGCCCTTCCAGCCGCAACCCCTCTCTGGGAAACATCCACACACTCATTCATACACACACTCATACACTATGGACAATTTAGTCCTCCCAATTCACCTGTACCGTCTTTGGATTGTGGGGGAAACCGGAGCACCCGGAGGAAAACCACGTGAAGGCAGGGCGAACATGCAAACTTCACTGAGCCGAGGTTCGAACTAGCAACCTTCTTGCTGTGAGTCGACAGCACTACCTACTGCGCCACTGCGTTGCCCTACTAATGAAACATAAAAAATACAAATATTTAACAGAGAAAAACTGTAAAGTAAACATTGTAAACCTATACACATCTAGGAACTCTTTTACTCAATACAGGGTTCGCACTGGTCACTGAATTTTAGAAGGTTTATTCCACTGAATGTCAGGGTTTTATTTATTTATTTATTTTGTCCAAGTCATGGAATGTTTGGGATTTTTGTTATTAATTGAAAATATTTCCAATTAATTATCAAAATGTCATTTTTTATTGTGTTTATTTATTTTAGCTTTTTACAGTCACTGACCAAACTAAAAATATGACATATGTAGACATATAGGAACCTCAGAATTTAATAGAAAATGAGGCAAATACTGTAACTGCGAAAATGTTGACTTTTTGACAAAAAAAAAAAAAAAGAAGAACTACCTCTTTTAATAGGTTGGCTACTGGCCTGATTTATGACCTTTATTTTTTGAACATGACAGTGTGTTCGTTGTACTCAAATGGCCTACACAGTTACCAATCCAATAGAGCACCTTTGGGATGTGGTGGAATAGCAGATTCGCATTATGGATGTGCAGCTGACAATGTGGGCAGCAACTGCGTGATGCTATCATGTCAATATGGACCAAAATCTCTGAGGAATATTTACCTTGTTGAATCTATGCCACGAAGGTTTAAGGCAGTTTTGAAGGCAAAAGGGGGTCCAACCTGGTACTAGTAAGAAATACCTAATAAAGTGGCCGGTGAGTTTATTTGGGTGGTGTGAGGACCCTCTTGGAATTACTGTTTACTTATTTATTTATTTATTATTATTTTTTTTTATCAAAAGTAAATTCTATTTTTGAAGTCTAAACATGCTCGAAAACTTACAAAATTATGCACACACACCAGACTTTTTTTTCTTTTTTAACATTTAATCTTGGTTTCAGAACTCTGTGGCTCAATAGCACCACCTACACACTTTCAACACTGCCCATCAGCACACATATGAAATACCTATTAAACTTGTATTTTAACATTTAATCAGATCGATACCAAATTTGAGCAGTGTAATCTCAAGGCATTTGCCGTGTTAAATTGTAAAGATCTAGATGTTTTGTCATATTTTGTTTCGAATGGGAAAAGAAGGTTCTCAGGGAGACAATGTTTGATCTCAGTTTGAACTGACAGAAGGAAGTTTGTAACATGTCAGTGTTCTTCTTATAGCTTAAATACATATTTCTCTGTCATCCTAATGCCACCAGACAATTTTGGATTTTTTGCCACACAGAAGTGTTCATTGAGGTTTAAATGATTTCAGTTGAACCACTGAAGTCACATGAAATATTTTGATAAAGTTTTTGGTTTCTCTGGGAATTCATCTGGGAAGTTGTGTTCTGAAGATTAACAAAGATCACAGGGGTTTGATATCACATGAGGGTATATACAGTTGAAGATAGAACTATTAGCCCCCCTTTGATTTTATTTTGTCTTAATTAAATATTTTCCAAATTATTTTTAACAGAGCAAGGACATTTTCACAGTATGTCTGATAATATTTTTTCTTCTAAAGAAAGTTTTATTTGTTTTATTTCGGCTAGAATAAAAGCAATTTTAAATTTAAAAAAACAACTTTTTTTCAAGTCTACAGAACAAGCCATAATTTTAAAATAACTGGACAAATTACCCTGACCTTCCAAGTTAACCTGATGAACCTAGTTAAGCCTTTGACTAGATATTTTTCAAATATAAAATATATAAAAAATTTGTTAAAAGGGGCTAATAATTTTTTACCTTAAAATGTTTTATTTTTATTTTTATTTTATTTAAATTGCTTTTATTCTAGCCGAAACAAATAAGACTTTCTCTAGAAGAAAAAATAATATCAGACATACTGTGAAAATTTCCTTGCTCTGTTAAACATCATTTAGGAAATAATTAAAAAAGAAAAAAATATTCCAAGGGGGTCTAATAATTCTGACTTCAACCATAAATATATCTTTATCATCTGATTATTAATAAGAGTTTAGTTTAGTCTCCTTGATTGACTGAACTCAGAAAGACGGCAGTGCACGACTGGGAATTGTGGAGTTCCAGATTCTGTGGAATAAAATCAGGAAGTGGCTGGTGAGAAACCGACTGCTGCATGATCTTCATTACATCTTATGAAATGTAAAGTCGCAACCCAAACTCATCTGTCTTCATCTGCAGGGTGTCTTCAGACAGTTCGATCTGGATAAATCTGGAACTATGAGCTCCTACGAAATGCGCCTGGCTGTGGAGTCTGCAGGTGATCAATACTTTTTCATGCTCATCTCATGAAAATCTTTGGCTATGGTATGTTTTTAGTGTTTGAGATTACAGAGGCATATCTGTGTTATTTTCACTGTGATTCATAAGCTTTTAATTTGATACCAGTTTCAAACCAAACTTTAGAACCAGTTAAATTAAAATGAATTCCTAACTGACCAAGTAATTTTGTGTTTATTAAACATCTATAGTCGGCACCATTAGCCTATAGTCATGTGCTCACGGTGACCTGAGTTCAATTCCTAGCTCGAGGTCATTTCCCTCTCTTTCTGCTCCCCATTCATTACTAAATCCCTCTCCACTGCCCTATCAAATAAAGATTTTATATATATATATATATATATATATATATATATATATATATATATATATATATATATATATATATATATATATATATATATATATATATATATATATATAAAATCACATTTAAAATAGTCCAAATTAAGCTCTTAGCAATGTACATTACTAATCAAAAATTAAGTTTTCATGTATTTACAGTAGAAAATTTACTGAGGCTCCGTTTACACTAGTGCGTTTTAGTTTTAAAACGGCGTTGTAGAATGAAAACGATCCGCGTCCACACTCGCGTTTTACCCAGCGTTTCTGAACTGCTCTCCGTCCACACCAAAACGCTGAAAACGCACACCACGTGACCACACACACACTCTCGGGCAAGCGCTCCAGCATTTCTACCCAGATGAGAGCTCTGCTTGTCGGACTGCTCATCAAGCATCTCCCGCTGGATCTAATCTCACTATATTTGCTGAATGTGATATTTCATTCATGTTGTTGTCTTTATCTAACGACATAGGCCAATTCCCTGACTTTGGTGATTGGAATCTATTAAGTTACTTGTTCACGGGTAACATGTTTTGGTTAAGCGCAAAGATAAGTTAATGATTAATCCAGGTATATTGACTGATCGCTTGCCTTTATTTCCTACAATGTATAAACTTATTGTATGTTATACTTTTATAATTATCGATTATTAAAACTGATACTCAGCAAAAGAGAGGGTGTGTTTCGTATTTTCACTGAAACTGAAAGGAGGCAGTTGTTATCGGCTTCGTTTTGTTATAAATATCCACACAAAAGATGACGCTCATATATGCAGCACGGCGCCTCAACATTTCTGCTGTCTGTTAAGTTGCTAATATTAAAAAGAAAATAGGCAGTTCCTTAAATCATGTTTATATTTTATTGTTAAAAAAGTGAAACAACGTAGCCAAGGTGATGTGAATGAAGTTATAAAGTACACTGTTCCCTTTGAAGATTTACCCGTGTCCTCGGTATGTTTTCCATATCAAACTGAGAAGGGGGAGACTGCAGCCTTGATCAAACTTGCGAAGTCTTAACTTACAAGAAAAGGATGCGAGACTGAACTGTGTGTGGGCTACTTAATATTGAGGAATAGCCCCAATTAGATAGGCGAACGTTTGCAGCCCCGCCTCCGTTTTCAGATGTCTCCGTCTTTCCCCATCCACACTGAGACGGAGCAGCAGCGTTTCAGAATGAAAACGGCCTCTCCAGCGTTTTCAAAAAGCTACGTTTTCGGCGCTCGAGAACTCCGGCGTAGTGTGGACGGATGGCGTAACCGTAGCAAAACTTATGCGTTTTCAAACTAAAACGCACTAGTGTAAACGGGGCCTGAATGTCTTCAAGGATCTTTTGTTTTGTTTTGTTTTGTCCAGTACAATCTACTTTTGGTTATTGTCAAAAATATACCAACCAACCCACAATGCATCTGCCTGTGTCCTTATCCTCAGGTTTTAAACTCAATAACAAGCTACATCAGATCCTGGTGGCCCGATATTCAGACGGAGATGTGATTGACTTCGACAACTTTGTCTGCTGCCTGGTTAAACTGGAGGCCATGTTCAGTACGTCATTTACATTATATTCTACTTTTGTGTTAATATATTTGCTATTATCCCACTGAAACATCTGAGTCAATATCTCATCTCCAACAGAGTCTTTCAAAGAGCTGGAGAAAGAGGGCTCAGGTGTCGCAGAGCTCAATATTAGCGAGGTCAGTCATTTCTTACTTTCTAAGTAATGCTGTCAAACAATCAATCACAATTAATTTAGGAATACATTATAAATATTCACAGCACATGCAGATATATATTATGTGAATACAGACTTTTATTGTGGATGTGACTAATCATTGGACAGCATTACTACTAAGCTTTACCAATACTCCTCAGTTGTTTAATTTATTGTGCATTATTGAAGGAAAGTATATATTTGATTAGCTCTTGCTCTCGTTAACAGTGGCTGTATTTGACCATGTGCGGCTGAAGTGTGAAGAGTGTATCCTAAAGGACGAGAAGGACCAAAATCACACTCCAACTGCAGCTTTAAGCCATTACACCCAAAGACGCCGGAGCAATACAGTACAAACTGCCTTAAAACACATCCAATCCAACCATCACACAAGCTTACGCCACTGTATGCTTTTATAAAGGACATCCACATTATGCAAGAGTCCATCAATAATGTAAATGATAAATATATGAGTTGCAGCATTTCAGAAAGCAATGGCTTCATGACTAACCGCATGACTAATCTTAACGCTGTAGGTTATTTTATTCTACCTTGCATATATAGATTAACTCTTAACATTTTGAGGTTTGCACCATTATGGCCTTGCTATTTAAAGACATGTACATTTGATTTGAGATCTTTTTAGGGTATGATTTTGATAGTATTTATAATCACTGTGATCTGCTGTGCAAAGATTATTTAATTCTTTATATATAGAAGCAACAAGTACGTATAGGATATTCAGGGATTTGTGCTAGCCCAGACTAGATCTTTCTTTTATGCTGCTTCAAAGTATGAAATGAAAATAAAGTTTCAATTGAAACTTATTGGTATGTTATGGGTTTTAATTGCAAATATGGGTGTGTATGTGAAAGGGCTGGAATATTAATTTAAAAATATTATTTACATTTTGTAAATAAAAGTATTATATGTATACGGTGGCCGAAAGAACCTAACGTAATGCAATTCAAGAAAACACATGCAATTACAAAAAAAAAAATCTGTAAGTTACGAAAAGATTCTCATCGGTTTGACAGCACACATGCTGCAAATCCTCACAATGCAAACAAATTAAGAAAACGCACTGCATTTTATCACAACACTTGCAAATAGTGCAGAACACGATGGAAATGTTTCAAGAGGACCCTAAAAAGTGACAGAGACCCGGCTAGTTGCTTAGGCTATAACAGTGGTTCTCAAACGTTTTTCATCAAGTACCACCTCAGAAAACAATTGTGTCTCCAAGTACCACCAAAATGAGCAGTATTGAAATACAGTAGCGCAGTAGGTACAGTAAAGCAGCTACAACTCTGCACAGTTAAAAAACGTGGCAGATTACCTCAGAAATATAGGCTATATGTCATATATGACATATTATATACATCATTTTTGATAAATTTTGTAATGTGTGTAGCATGTACATGACATATTTCATTCCTCCGCGTACCACTAGAAGGAAGCCTGCGTACCACTAGTGGTACACGTACCACAGTTTGAGAACCACTGGGCTATAAAATACAAAAGACAAGGGAATCAGGATATTAAAATAAACAAACAAAAATAAAAATCACCTTTCAAAGGTCACCTACAACTTCACTGAGCAATAGTAATAGCTGCAGCGAACGTTTTAGGGTCTCCTTGAAACATTTCCATTGTGTCTTGTTCTATTTGCAAGTGTGAGAAAATGTAGCGTGTTTTCTTAAACTGTTTACGTTGTGTAGAAAAGCAGGTCGTTTTTTTATGTGCATACTCTGTGAAGATTTGCAGTATGTGCTGTCTAACGGATAAAGATCTTTTCTTAATTTGCTGATGTTTTTTTGTAATTGCATGCGTTTTCAGAATCAGAAAGAGTTTTATTGCCAGGTATGTTTGCACATACGAGCAGTGTTGGGGAGTAACTAGTTACATGTAACAGCGTTACATAATTTAATTACAAAATAAAAGTAATAGTAATTAGCTACAGTTACTGAGAAAAAATCTGTACTTAAATTACAGTTACTTAAGAAAATGTTAAAGATTACAAATATGGTTACATCCAAATATACTGAATAATATTAATCTGTTGCTTTGCCTGTTTTTGATATGCACGATGTCTTTTGTTAAGGCCATTTATTAAAGAGCTGCTATTCTGATGCTTTTGATTAGTTTTCCAGTTTGAGGATTCTTTGTTTTTGCTTTATATACTACAATTGGTTTCTGTTTGGTACAGCAAATTATTTACAGTAAATAATTGAACTGAACAATTCTGCCTTATATGATTTATTGACAGTTTTATTCATCACTAAGATGTGATTGACTTGGATTTAAGCTGCTTCGATTTAAAAATTCAAATAGCAAAATAGGTTAGATGTATTTTTTGGCAAATGCCACAAAAATCACCCTGCACAACTAACAAAATGTTTTATTTTGTAACAACAGTTTTTTGTTATAAGGTCTGGTTTTGTGGTGGCTGTACTTTAAAATGAAAAATATATAATCTTAATTCAAGTTAAGAGGGATTCTAACAGTAAACAGATCTACTGTAAGGTCACACCTACTCAGTGTAAATGCTTGAAAATGATTAAGTTGAAAATATCCATTAGAAACCTAAAATTAATCAAAAAGTAATCAGATGTAATTAGTTACTTTACTTTTAAAAAGTAATCGAAAATGGACACTACTTATTACATTTTAATAGGGTAATTTGTAATCTATAATCTATTACATTTTCAAAGTAACCTCCCCAACACTGCATACGAGGAATTTGTTTTTGTGACAGAGCTTCTACAGTGCAACAGAATTACAGAGACTGGACAATAAACAGATAATAAAAATATAAAAAGCAGTAAGTAGTGAATGCAAATATACAAATAGACAAGTGTATGTAGAGCTATATTACTATATACAATGTTATATGTGCAGCTGTTATGTGCAAATTGGCATGTAAAGTGTGTTGTTAAATAAGTGTATATGTGTATAAAAGTGTGTGGCAAGTAGTGATGTTTGTTCCACAATTATTATTATCAAGTGTTCATGAGATGGATTGCTTGAGGGAAGAAACTGTTTCTGTGTCGGGCTGTTCTGGTGCGCAGTGCTCTGTAGCGTCGACCAGAAGGTAATAGTTTAAAGAGGCAGTGTGCTGGGTGTGAGCGGTCCAGAGTGATAAGTACAGTTCTTGAGTAGTAGGGAGGGTTGTACTGATGATTCGCTCAGCAGTCTGAACTATTCGACATAGTCAGATTTGGTAGCTGAGCTAAACCAGACAGTTATTGATGTGCAGATGACTGATTCAATGATGGAGGTGTAGAACTGTTTCAGCAGCTCCTTTGGGAGGTTGAACTTCCTCAGCTGACGAAGAAAGTACATCCTCTGTTGAGCTTTTTTGACAGCGGAGTCAATGTGAGTGTCCCACTTCAGGTCCTGAGAGATGGTGGTGCCCAGGAACCTGAATAACTATACTGCTGCCACAATGCTGTCCATGATGCTCAGTGGGGGGAGAGCAGGGGGGTTTCTCCTGAAGTCAACTATCATCTCCACAGTGTGTTGAGCTCCAGGTTGTTGTGACTGCACCAGACAGCCAACTCCTTAACCTCCTGTCTGTAAGCAGACTCATCACCTTCCTGAATGAGGCCGATAAGTGTGGTGTGGTCTGCAAACTTCAAGGGTCCTTTAAAGTGCAGTCATTTGTGTACAGAGAGAAGAGCAGTGGGGAGAGGACACACCCCTGGGGGGCGCCAGTGCTGATTTTGCGGACGCTGGATGACAATTTCCCTAGCTTCACCTGCTGCTGCCTGTCCGTTAGGAAGCTGTTGATCCACTGACAGACAGAGGTGGGCCCAGAGAGCTGAGTTAATTTGGGCAGGAGAAGTTTTGGGATGATAGTGTTAAAAGCCGAGCTGAAGTCAACAAACAAGATCCTCACATAGGTCCCTGGTCTGTCTAGGTGTTGCAGAACATAATGCAGGTCAGTGTGCATGTATATATATATACAGTGTGGGCCATTTATATGGATACACCTTAATAAAATGGGAATGGTTGGGATATTAACGTCCTGTTTGTGGCACAATAGTATATGTGAGGGGGCAAACTTTTCAAGATGGGTGGTGACCATGGTGGCCACTTTGAAGTCGGTTTCAGGTGCTGGACATCTTGTATCTTCACACCATAGACAAAAAAGATAGTGGGGCCATTCTTCATCAATGGAAACCTCAAGGCACTGGATATTTGAAATTGGTGCATGGTGATGTGTTTCCCTCTTTATGCACTGAAGCTGAAGTTTCCCAGTTTTTTTCCAGCAAGATGGTGCACCACCACATTATGGGTGTGAGGTCTGACCGAGCATTCCTAGATGAACAGTCTCCTGATAAGTGGATTGGTCGTCGTGGGCCAGTTGATTGGCCCCCAAAGTCCCCTGATCTGACCGACTTAGAATTTTATCTTTGGGGTCATCTGAAGACAATTTTCTATGGTGTGAAGATACAAGATGTGCAGCACCAAAAACTATGGATACTGGAAGCCTGAGCTGGCATTTCTCCTGTCCTTTACTTGGTCCTCCACCAGTCAAAAAAAAAAACAAAAAAAACTTCATGTTCTTTGTGGAAGAATTTTACAGTCAGTGGTGCTGCAGATAAAACAAAGTGATACTGTATAATGTGTGCAAAAGTGAAATCAGCAGAGATATTAAACATCTGTCAACATCTTCTATGCATAATCATTCATTTCTTTTCGGCTTAGTCCCTTTATCAATCTGGGGTTGCCACAGAGGAATGAATCACCAATTTATCCAGCATATGTTTTACGCAGTGGCTGCCCTTCCAGCTGCTACCCAGCACTGGGAAACATCCATACACTCTCTTTCACACACATACAATAGGGACAATTTAGCTTACCCAATTCACCTGTATTGCATGTGTTTGGACTGTGGGGGAAACCGGAGCATCCGTAGGAAACCCACGCCAACATGGGGAGAACCCAGTCGAGGCTCCAACCAGCAACCTTCTTGCTGTCAGGCGACAGTGCTACTCACTGTGCCACCGCGCAACCTTCTATGTAATGTATTATCACATGCACTAAAAGCATCCTCTCCTGATACTGTCTGTGAACCCCCCACAAGCATCAATCCCCTCAATCAGCCCAGCTATGTTCTGCTAAATCCTCCACAAGCACCAAACCATCAACACAGCCACATTCTGCCCCAGCAAGTCAGTTTCAAACATAAAAACATAAAAAAAAAAAAAAAAAAAACTGTGTCTGTTTTGTGGCTGGCAGATGACAATAGCAGGGCTGTATCTTTTAGCATTATATAGAATACTTTTGTTCTGCCAGATCTCCTAGGCAGGGATTTATTTAGATTTATTTAGCTAATTTTAGTTTTTGAAATTCTTTGCATTGGAAAGAAGTTCTTTCAGAAGAAGAACAGTTTTTTTTAAGTATTATTTGTTTTTATTCTGTCTATTCAGTGTCCTTCAACAAGAACGGTGGTGGTGGGGTTCATAATATTCACAATGGTATTTTATTAGTTGTTGGTTTAACCATGGATGAGAAAATGGCTTCTATGTTATTTTCTTTTCAATGACATTTCTTGTCACATGTTCAAAAACAACAACCAATATTGCATGTCTATAATTTATATAATGGGTATAATTAAATAATACTTTCACTATAACGTAAATTAGAAGTGTAATAAAAAATATATATATTTTTGCGCCATTTTGAATTTTACTCGAATACAAATACAAATACTTTTCCCCCCTCAACAAATACAAATACCGGCTGCTCCGCACATCCCTACTGTATATATATTCTTGTTTTTGTAAAGGTGAATTTTAATCTGCTGCTCAATATTATAATCAAAAGTTCCTCTAACTGTATTTGAACAAATAAGAGATTATAATAAATTTGTAAATAATATATTTCAAAAGATAACGACAAGATTCAACGATCAAGATTGAAAAGAAGTATTTTAAAAACACCTAAAAGTATTATATTTAATATTTATTATTATTTTAGTGGCTTTTTTCTGTAAACCAGGATAAAAGAGTTCACCCAAAACTGAAAGTTCTCATAATTTACTCATCCTTCACTTGTCACAAACCTGTTTGAGTATATTTTGTTGAACACAAAAATGCAGCGTTTTATTATTTGTTTGCATTGTGTAAAATGCAGCACGTTACAGAACATGTTCTGTCAAACAGATGAAGATCTTTTCTTAATTTGCTGGAGTTTTTTGTAATTGTATGCAACATGTTTAGCTCTCTTGGCCACCATGTATGTGTGTGTGTGTATAATATATATATATATATATATATATATATATATATATATATATATATATATATATATATATATGAAGATGCAAAAATCTCTAAATGCCGTTTAATAATTATTTTTTAATTAGCATTTTTCTTCGACTCCTGTGTAGGCTCACTAATTTTACTTTTTATAGCTACGAATAAGTTCCTTTTATTGACTTTAAAGTGAAATAACTGAACATAAACAGAAAATTTCTCATTTTAGGAGAAAAATTCAGACGGCATTTAGAGGTTTTTGAATACTCAAGGTACTTAAAATACAGTTGAAGTGAGAATTATTAGCCCCTTCTTATTTTTTCCCTAATTTCTGTTTAACGGAGAGAAGATTTTTTCAACACATTTCTAAACATAAAAGTTTTAATAACTCCTATTTTGCAGCGAGAAATGCCTCTGAAGCGGCACCGACGGATCCACAATGCAGTTCGGCAACGCCTGTTGTCACCCATTCAAAGTTAATGGCGTTGAAGCTGACGCCCCGAGTGAACGAGGAATAATGACTGATTTATTTTATCTTTGCCATGATGACAGTAAATAATATTTGACTCGATATTTTTCATATATACTGTAATTAGGCAAGTTATTGTATAACGATGGTTTGTTCTGTAGACTATCTGAAATTTTTTTTGCTTAGAGGGGCTAATAATATGGACCTTAAAATGGTTCTTAAATTTAAAACTGCTTTTATTCTAGTTGAAATAAAACAAATAAGACTTTCTCCAGAAGAAAACAATAACTCTGTTAAACATAATTTCAGAAGAAAATTCAAAGCGGGGCTAATAATTCTGACTTAAACTCTATGCTATTTGTGTTTCATGATAACAGGTTTCTAACATTCTTCAGAATATCTTATTTTGTGTTTAACAGAAAAAGGGAAACTTGTAGGTTACAACCACCCAAGGGTGAGTAAACGGTGAGCAAATTTCCATTTTAAGTAAACTGTCCTTTTAAAAACATATTAACAAGTCGTTTTTTTTTTAGAACTAAAGTGTGTTATTACACTAATACAACAAACATTATTGAGATAAAGTTGGTTTTATATTCAAACATTTGGAGTTTCTCCAGTATCGCTTTATTTTGATGGTCCCTTTTATTGAAGGATTGTTGAATTGAAGTTACATTGCTTCCACATGCCAACTAATTCACATTAGATTATAAGTAGACTGTTAGGTTAGGGTTAGTGTAAGCTGACATCTACTTGCAAAGTTTCTTATAGTCAGTGAAATGTCTGATGAAGGAGCAGTATCAGCAGATATTAAGCAGACAGTCTACAAAATGTGCAATAGGGACCATCAAAATAAAGTCTTACCCTTTCTCCTTAATAGTATTATTTCAGATTAGTATTCTATGCACATTATTAATATGTTAATCATATTAGCAACCAATATTTGAGGTAAACTTGGTTTTATATGCACACATTTATTCATGTTTGAACAGTGACAACTTGTGACACACTCCCTATATTGTTTACCATGGTACTGGTAAACATGAATACTCAGTGTGAAATCACATTTAGGTATGACTTCAAAACAGCAATATATATATATATATATATATATATATATATATATATATATATATATATATATATATATATATGACAGTGAACAATGTTGTACTTTGACAGCCATTGGCTGCTAATATGGTTTCACTATGTAGAATATGCAATGAATAAATACATCTGCATAATTATATTATAGAAGGTGCGAATGTGTGAATATAAAACCAACTTTACCTCAACATATTCAAAGTACCATGGTAAACAATTTAGAAAGCGTGTCACAAGTTGCCACTGAACGAATGTGCGAATAGAAAACCAACTTTACCTCATAAACGTACCCCTTGTTACACGTATAGTAACAAACCAGAACCAAATTCTGTGAAGGTTGCCATTTAAAACTTTATATCTCGAACACAACAGAGTCCATTCATTCAGTCATTAGCTCACACACACACAAAATGTTCAGTTTTTTTTTTAGTCTTTTGTCTATTCCTTCGGCTTGCCCTCCAGCAGACCCAGTAGAGTCGCCTCAGCCTCCAGCAGTGTGGTGTCGGTCGTCGCTCCCAGAAAGCGCGATGTGAGCTCCAAATCCTCCAGCCTGAGCCTCACCTTGCTGCCCCGCTGGTACTTCTCCCCGTCAACAGCAGGCCTCTTACAAACACAGTGAAACTTCCCTCCGAAATCCACATACAGGTCATCGTTGACTATGTGGAAGATCTTCCCGATGGCGATCTTGCCTTTGGCGGGACCCATCTGTAGGAGCACGGACTGTCGCAGCAGAGCCGGGAAAGAGCTCTCCTCCCTGGGGCTCATCATACGCCGTTCGCCGCTTTGCTGGAGGTCCGAGTGCAGATTATAAGCGGCAGCGAAACCGCTCTTCGGCCGCTCGGTGTGTTTATCATCTCCTCCGCTCGCGTCTGAACTGTATAGGGATCTGAGTGTGGCGAAAACACATTGTTTTGGAGGTAAAGAAGACCTGGAACTCACGTTGATCATCACCTTGCAGAGCGACGCCATGTTGAAATGTCATAAGAAGGAAAGAGAGATCCGGTTATTTCAAAATAAGAGCATAGATGAAGGCGTTGGTGGCATATGAAAAACACCTAAAGTACATTTTAGACTATTTTTACTCTCGCTCTATTAGTTATGTTTTATTTAAAAAGTATATTTTTAGAGATGGATGAAGTTTTTCCCCTCCCCTGATTCTTAGGGACGGTTGACACATTTTTTTATTCTGCCATTATTTATTTACTCTAATAATAAATAATTAATCCTTTAAAATCGTACATATTCAATTAAAGGATGCATCCTTTGCATATAATAAATATGATCTGGAACTCACACTGGCTTTAATAACTGTCACCAATTATGGTAGGCCTCACCAGTATTCTAAAAATATTTAAATTAGTTAAAAATAGATAAAAATATCACAAAGCCACATATTATATAGACATAAGGCAAATTAAACTACAAAGTTTACAATTAACGTAAACATTTTGCCTAACGTTAAATGCATTATATCCTTGAACAAAAATAATAAAACACAGTAGAAATTAAATAAATATATTTAAATAAATACAAGCATTGCTTGAATATCTCGCTTTATTTCAAATTTAAAGGCGACCTTAAAATGACTTTTAATTGACTATGATAAATGCGTGACTCTCTCGGCTTCCGTAGTTAACGCGTCACGTACGTTTACCGGAAGTTTATAAACACATCTTCGAGAACACGCATGAAGAAAACATGGAGCTGTTTGTAATTTCGCCAGATTTGAAGTTTAATAATCTTACTGTCGCTCCGGACTCGACTGTCAGCGACCTTATCGATCATTTTACCGTTAAAAATGTGAGTCGCTGAGTGATTACATTAATGCGACGAGAACTGAACTCTGGATTAAGCTCTTCTCTCAGTACTCATTGCTCGGTTTGATTGTGTTTGTTATAGTGATGTTTAAAATGACGGAAATGTGTTTTTCTTTCCTCTCAGGGTGTATCTTTGACGGATTTCTACGTGAGCAGTAATGGCCGTTTGTCTCGCAGTAATGACCTGCTTCAGTCTGGAGTTGTGTATCGTCTGGAGCCCCGGCTGTGTGGAGGAAAAGGAGGTAAAACCACTAATATCCTCTAATAATATTGTTTAGAGTGTGCTTGTTTGCTGATGTTTGTGACCCTGGACTTCCAAACACGATTTAACGTTAAGTGTTTTTTTTTACTCGAGATTTACACACCATTTTAAAGCAGAATAAATAAGCTTTGCATTAATTCATTCTTTGTAAGTAAAAGATTATGGGTCACACTTTACAATAAGGTTCATTAGTTAATGTTAATTAATGCATTTGCTAAGATAAACAAACAATGAACAATACATTTACTACTGTATTTGTTCATGTTAGTTAACGTTACTTAATGAAAATACAGTTGTTCATTGTTAGTTCATGGTGCATTAACTAATGTTAACAAGCATGGACTTGGATGTTTATAAAGCATTAGTAAATGTTCAATTTTGATTAATAAATGCTGTACATGTGTTGTTCATGATTAGTTAATGTTAGTAAAAGCATTAACTAATGAACCTTATTGTAAAGTGTTACCAGATAATGTTTGATTTAGGTAAAGCTGGTTTTATATTCGCACCTTCAGACTTTCTCCTTAATGATATCATCCCTTTTAGGAATTAAAAAAAACTCTGGGAAATCGTACACTCAAAAAAGACTTTTGCTGCTTGTTCAAACTACAAATTTTTAAATGAGGTGAAACAACACAAAGTTTTTAGGGGTAAAACTTGTTTTTTTTTGTTAAATCCACTTAAATTGGGAAAAAACAATTAAGTTTACTCAAAGACCACCTATTTTACCCCTTTTTCAAGATTTAAGGCAAGTCTTCTATGTCTCCAGTATGTTTCTGTGAAGTTTCAGCTCAAAACATTAGAAACATCAGATTATTTATTATACCTTTCTGAATATTGTGATTTTCTGCTTTGAACACAATGTAGCTGTTTTTGTGGCCTGTGCCTTTAGTGCTAGTTCACCCCGCCCACCGTTCTCACGTGCTTGTCAAATGGCCCATTTCCACTGAGTGGTACAGTTTGGTTTGGTACGCTTTTATGGCCGTTTCCACTGTCAAAAGGCTTACCGTACCGTACCACTTTTTCGGCACCCTTTCGAAAGGGTCCCAAACACAAGAAAGGGTACCAAAAGGAGGAGCTAGACGCGCAGCTAAACGCTATTGGTTTACAGAGACGCGTCATTCGCTTGCGCAACAAGCCAGAATGTAAACAAAGGACCCGCCATGTTTGAAATACAGAGCGAGAGATTACAGCAGAATTATATAAGCATAATGGTCAATCCGGGCTCAAACAAACCTTGTCGTCGTCTTGATGAACAGCCACAAAGCATAGAGTAGAGCAGAATCTGCCCTGTGCCCCGTAGTTTTTTAAGAGCCAGTCTGAGGAGCAAGCGGTTTCGCTTTCTTGCTTGTGCTCGCCGCGCGTCTATTTCTGTATGAATATTAAACTTCTTGAGCTGATAATAATAACGTGAGCTATACTTTGTGTTGTTTTGAACCAAATTAAGGACAAAATGTTTGCTGTGTGTACTTTTTCTGTAGTTGAAGCGTCTGTTTTGTGAGAAGTGCTTTTCATATGATATGCAAGCGACCCGTACAGCTTTATTGTAGACATTTCCTCGAGTGAGAATGATGCGACTGAAACTATCTGTTGTACACCACGTCCACCAAAAGGGTATCCTTGCTAGTGGAAACGCAAGCCTGATAAAGGTGACCCGTACCAACCCGAACGTACCATACTGTACCAGTCAGTGGAAACGAGCCTAAAGTGTGCCTCGATCTCCTCCTCGGCTGTGTAAGATAAACAGCACATTGACTGACATGAACGAAGCAGATCTCATGTAACGTTTGTGAAAAGTATTACAGTAAGCTTTTACCCAATAATTATTTGATGTATTTGTTGTGGACAGTAAAATCGCTACATTCATTACAAAGTTGTCCTGTTTTAATTCCTGATTACATTTGATTATGATTGATGATCACAGAGAGCTGAACAGATCTTTTAATCCCAGTTGCTTTGTGCATGTCCTGTCTTGTTCATATGATTGTATGCATTACTACGGAGACCTGTTAATAATCAGCTGTCAAACAAGTTAGTGGGCGGGGAAACCACACGTTGTGGTCAGCCTCAAAATGGGAGGGATTTGGATCCAATTTTAACGTCAAGAAAGAAAAAAGTTTATATCCCTCCAATATGACTGTGGACATACTATACCTACACACAGTTTTGTCTAAACCGCTTACAAAAAATGATTTTCTTCATGGGTGCCCTTTAATTGATTTGTGTTGTGATGAGATGAAGTAATTGTTGGGTTGGCTGTCAAAGTACAACATTGTTCACAGTCAGTTAAATCTGTTTTATAACAAAGATTATTTAACTCCAAATGGACCCAGACCTAAGCATAGCATGATTACCGGTTTTAACGGTCATTGTGGTTAAGGTGTAAAACTGGCAAAATTAAAAGGTGTGTGAGGGGTTTTATGTGTTTTAAAGAAATCAGTGTTATTGAAACTAATAAAGACTGCAGAAGTCTTGAAGTATTTAGCCTGACATGTTTACGGTCAAAATATTATACATTTTTCCTTAGTTTTTTTTAGATTTCGTTTTTTTACCCAGACATTTAAAAAGGACTCATTTTATAGCAGTTATCACAATACCTTGAAATCAAGATATTTTTATTCAAGGTTATCATATTATCATAAACTTATACCGGCTCATGCCTACCCAGAATGAACCTCAATTTTGAATGCATCATGAGAATTCGACTTGTGATTGTTTTTCAGGATTCGGCTCCATGTTGAGAGCTCTCGGTGCGCAAATTGAAAAGACCACAAATCGTGAGGCCTGCCGAGATCTGAGTGGAAGAAGACTTCGAGACGTCAATCATGAGAAAGAGTAAGACTGACGATTACCACACGCTTGTTTATTTACACAATGTGCAATTATCTCATTGATTTGGTGCTTTCTCTTTCTGTTAAATGCTTAAATGTGTTTGTATGTGTACGTAGAATGGCGGAATGGTTGAAAAAGCAGGCGGATCGAGAGGCGGAGAAGGAGCAGCGTCGCCTGGAGCGGATTCAGAGGAAACTGGCTGAGCCCAAACATTATTTCACAGACACCAATTATGAGCAGCAGTGCCATGACCTCTCAGAGAGACTGGAGGACTCTGTGCTCAAAGGTGATTTAGATTTTTTTTTTGTCCATAAACAAATCATCCGAGATATACAAGTCTTTTGATTTTTCGTTATAGATTTGTGTCGTATTGTGACACTCTTTTTAGGTTGTGTAAATCTTATACGTTTTTTAAAAATCCTAAATCAATTTATTATTTATATAACCTTTTTTGGTTCAACTGGAATATTACGAAGGTATGAGAATACTTGTGCACGCCTAAAACAAAAATAACAACTTTATTGAACAGTTCCTTCTCAATGCCAGTATAGGACACGCATGCACTGATGTGCCTATACTGACACTATGGAGAAGAAACTGTTACTGGTATCTTTCTTTTTAAGTCAGAGGGCAATAATTTTTAAAATCAGTGGTCCTCAAACTGTGGTACGTGTACCACTAGTGGTACGCGGGCTTCCTTCTAGTGGTATACAGAGGAATCCAATATGTCAAATGTACATGCAACATATATTTCAAAATGTATATTTCAAAAATGATTCATATATGAATATTAAGACATATAGCCTATATTTAGTTTCATTTCAAAGTGAAAACCCCTGACCTATTTCAAAGTGTAAGGCGCGCCTCCCCTGGGGGGCGCCAGAGCATGTCAGGGGAGGCGCGGGAAAAAATATTATATAATAAAAATATAATTATTAGGTTTAATTATTATATGTATTTTTTATTATATTTAAACGTTTTAATTAAACAAAACTAAAAAAATAATACGTCAAAAATAAGAAAACCTTTTTTACCCAGAAGGCCATAGCTGTGAATTCGCTTCTGTTTGGCAAGCCCACCAATACTGGTATATGCTTGCTAATACAATGGATCGGTTTCTGAGACCCCCCGATTCAAAGCCTTCAAGATCAGGGCTTAAACCCAAAAGACGACGATATGATGATCAGTATTTGAGTTTAGGATTTACGTGGACAGGACCAGCTGATGAACCACGACCTTTATGTGTGGTTTGTCAAGATATTTTGGCTAATGACAGCTTGAGACCCGCTAAACTTCGACTGTTTTGACTGGGATGGACAGTTCTTGGATCTGCTCTATTTATATTGAACCATCATCCTAGTTTTAAAAGCGTTATATTAAAATACTTATTACTCTGTAAATAATTGCACTTTCATGCAAATGATGATAAAAGTGAGTTAACAGTCTGACATCTGTCTGTGTCTTTATATATACTGTATGTGTGTGCGTGCGTGTTTGGGAGGAGGGGGGCGAAAATGGATAAGTTGTGTCAAAAGGGAGGCCCACTGTCTTAGACTTTGAAAAACCCTGCATAGGTTAACACTTTACGTTGAGGTACAGTTTGAGTTTTTTTTTGTGTACTTTTTAAGAACAATAGCCTACCATTTTTTTATTAACTTTTAAAAGCACATTTTATTGTAAACGTTGATAGTTTATTTTGTTTGTTTGTATTTTACATGTAAGCACAGTACAGTGTTAATGCTCAAACTATTTACTATGTTTAAAGTGGCTGATAATATAAATTTTCTCAATAATAGTAGTTAATCTGCCACGTTTTTAAACTTTGCAGAGTTGTAGCTACTTTACTGAGCCTACTACGCTACTGTATTTCAATACTGGTCATTGTGATGGTACTTGGAAAGACAATTTTTTTTCTGAGGTGGTACTTGGTGCAAAAAGTTTGAGAACCACTGGTCTAAATGAATAATGTTTTCATACTTGCACAATATTGTGAATTCCCATTTCGCATAGCCCAAAAAAATATTACTACTATTAATAATTTAAAAGTTGCTTTGATTTTTATTGTTAAATAATCTGCATATACAAAAAAAAACTAAAAAATAAAACACGCTGATAAAAGTTTTTGTTCACGTTGATCAAGCTAACCTCCATGAACTGTCTATATATTATTTATATAAATAAATAAGCTGAGTCTGAGACTTTTATTTATTTGATAGTTTATTTCACATTTCTTGTTTGTAAAGGCTAAATACAAAATAATTAAAAACATAATATTTTGTATCGTTGTTGTTTAAAAACAAAATTAAGAGCCTGGAGGTATTTTTGGCTTTGTATATTCAGTTTGCAGAGATTTGTAGGGACAGACATCTATTGTGTGCGCTCTTGGCAGTTTTTTTCTGTCTTTTTAATATTGTCCATTTCGGAATTATATTGTATTGACCAAAATTAAGAAATGTATCGTGATATAAAATTTTGCCATATCGTCCAACCCTAAGCCCCATAGGCGCTGCATTAGAGACACCTTGCATAAGCGGTACTTTGTTTTTTGTAATTTGACGCATTTATGATATAATGCATACATAAATGCAAATAAATGTTCATGTGTTTTTAAAAATCTAACTATTAAAAACTTTCAAGGATTTAAGATTATGAGGACAGTTAAATGGGCTATAAGAGTCTTGTGAAAAGGGTCCATAAGGCACATCAGCACATGCTTGCCCTATACTGACACTGAGAAGAAACTGTTGAATGAAGTTTTTATTTTTACTTTAGGTGTGCACAAAAATATCCTTATAGCTGTGTAATATTACAGTTGAACCACAAAAGACACAATTTGTTTTGGCAGTGTGTTTTTTTGTAACTTTCTTTTTTCATCGTGGGCAATAATCCTCTAAATGAAGCTTTTAATGTTCTCATATTTGAGCAATTTCTTTGTGATTTGATGCATACATCACGTGCATAAATCACGCCATGGACATTATATTAAGATGCCTACTGGTTTAAAATACCTAGATTAAAAAAAGATGGCCAAATCAGAACTTTTCTGTAATAAATTATAGTAAAACAGCTTGTCAAAAAGAATTAAAAAATGAAACCCTCTAAACAGAATAAATGCAGGAACGGAGCAAAGAGCGCTCTTTTAGGGTTCTTTCACACCTGCCTTATTTAGTTTGGTTGAATCGCACTAGAGTTCGTTTCCCCTCTTGGTGCGATTCATTTGGGCAGGTGTGAATGAAGCAGTCGTACTCGAGTGCACACCAAAAGCGGACCAAAAAAGCTTACTGAGACCTGCTTGAAGAGGTGGTCTCGGTATGCTTTCAAACAAACCCTGGAGTGGTGCTTTTGTGTTGACAACATGATCCGAACTAAAACAGACCCAACCACAAAAAGTACTGCACCTTTTTGGATTAATCCAGCTGCCGTAGGCCGATGCACTGTGCATTATGGGATGTGGGGAAAAATATTTGTTGACAGCGCTTTACCTACAATTTTAAACAGAGAGGGAGAGGGGGAAAAACATTACCTGATGGATCGTTGGTAATATTTCTGGAAGATGACCATTTTGCAGTTTAGCTAAATGAATTCACACCTCCTCTTGAAGTGACGTGTGATGCACCTTTGCCGTTTGCGATGCATTAAAACATTGCCTCATAAAACAGCCTCCGCCGTGCTTCATTCTTAAAATGTATAGTTTGTCTAAGTGATCTATACAAACTATATAGTAAACTATGACCAGGGATACAAACAGCCAGTACATTCGTAGCTCCATAGTAAAAAGCAACATTTTGTGTCCGCCGGTTTGTTTACTTGCAGGAGTTCATTGGCATTTTCCCGCAAGTGAATTCTGACCAATCGAATAGCAGTTTATGAAATGTGTTCAACAACATCTGGCCAATGAATGATGTGTGTTTTGTCACAATACTGCAATTTGGTTCTTTTTCAACTGGTTCGGACCAAAGCTTTCAAAGACTGGTGTGAAAAGGACAGCAGAAAATGCTACAATGTATCATTTATTGCCCTTGGTCCAGACCAAATGTAGCAAACTACAGATGTGAAAGCATCCTTATTGTCAGCTGTCAGTCAGCGCCCACTCTGACTTTTTTTTTCTTCATGGTCATTGTGCTTCTTGCTATGTGCAGTTTAAATGCAGACAATTGCATAGAAGACACTTTTTAAAAGATGATGCAAGCAGGTCATCAAAAAAAAAAATCAGATACAGTCACTAAATCAAAATTGACCATCAAGATCAACAGTGTAAATGCTGCCTATTAGACAAGATTTTAATACCGAAAACACTTTATTGGATGTTTTAAAAGTGTATTACTGGGAAAAATATTGAAGTTGTTTATCTTAAATTGCACCGAAAATCCTATCAAGTGTTAATTCAATATCATGTCAAATGTTTTATTTCTTTTTGTGTTTTATCTAAATTAGTCTTGCCATGAAATAGCTATAAATTGATGGAACTAAATCAACAGATAAACAGTGTATATTGTGGCACGCCGTATTGTCAAACTTTACTTCCTTTATAGTTTTGGGGAATTTATTTTAGTTTTTACATTTTTGTGTTTCTAATAAAATGTTTCCTCCACAAAACACTCAAGTTTTGCACCGGATACATTAAGATAAACCTTATAGACATTAGGATGGTAAATGAGTAAGTCACCCATAAATGTAAATTCTGACCTCATTTATTCACAGTTGAACACTAAAGAAGATATTTAAAGGAGTGTTGGAAACCTCATAACATTGACTTCCATAGTGTTCTTTTTTTTTCCTACTATGGATGTCGATCATTACCAGGTTTCACCAATCTTCAGTTTAGTGTTCTTTTGTGTTTACTGTACATAAATATGACATACTCTTATTAATAATAGTAAACATTCTAGGTATCATCCACCAATAATTATTCTAGAAAGCACACCTGAAATATTAAAAGTGTCTTCATTCTTCAGGCATGCAGGCTTCCTCTAGCGGTCTCGTTCAGGCGGACGAGGGTCCGAGCCTCAAGCGCGCAAATCCAACAGACAGTAAAAAGAAAGCCAAGAAGAAATGTTACTGGTGAGATGCTTTCAAATATGAAAAATTTAACACAAGACTTACAAATATAACTTTAATTTTAACATTTCTGTAACATGCCTTTGTTTAATCCAACAGGACCGGCATGGCAGGGCTAGAGGAAATGGCCAGCTCTAGTGAAGGAAGTGATGACAGCGACAGTGAAGTCTCTCCGTCTACCTCTGGAGCTTCCTGTAGTTCTGGTTTTCCTAAACCAGTCGTTTCAGCTCATAAAGCAGACCCCCAGGAGCAGCCCTCTTCCTCAAGTCCCGCACAGAGAAAACACAACCAGGAGGAGCTGCAGAAACGGGACAAGGAGGAGTGTACAAGTGAAATCAGCAGCTCTTCCTCCAGTCCTGCTGCAAACAATGAAAAACTCAACCAGGAGGAGACCAATGAAATCAGCAGCTCCTCCTCCAGTCCTGCTCCAAAGCCTACAGAAGTCAACCAGCAGGAGATGGAGACTGAGATGGAGTGTACAGCTCAAATCAGCAGCTCGTCTTCAAGTCCTGCTGAACACAGCGAGGAGGAGGTGCAGCAGACGGCTGAGAGGGTGGAGAAGATGGCTGAGGAGGTGCAGAAGACGGCTGAAGAGGTGCAGAAGAAAACTGAGGAGTCTACAGCTGAAATCAGCCCAAGCAGCAGCATCCCTGAGGAGAAATCACAGGTTCTTTCACAGGTTTGAAATGCTGAAAGATATTAAAATAATTTTCATTTCAATTAAGCTTTATATATATATATATAAAAACAATAAGTTGTATTTTAGTTGTTGTAGTATCATTTACATTGAAATGACAATTTAACAGTCTCTTTAACTAGATATGTTGCATAAAGGCAACTGAAATCAGGGTTTCGCCAGATCATGTCATTTCTGGAATATCATGGAATATTAAAAGTTTTTTTTCCAGACATTAACCATGTTTCTATTCAAAGAAGCAAATAAAATTAATGCGCAAAACTGGAATATCACATAACAGATTTGTAAATAAAGCAGCATTTCCATCTAATGAGTCCACGAAAAAAAAGTTACTTCCTGTTAAACTGGCACCAAATATATATAAAAAACAGAATTTGCTGTGGTAGAAGCATGTGTGGGTTTTTTTTCCTTGTATAATAAATTACTTGCACCTCAGAAGATAAAATGCGATGAACACAAGGTGGCGTTTAGAGGTGTGAGACGCTCTTTGGGTGCACAGATACTCAAGACAGTTCTGGAGTTGGCATGATACAAAAAATGTAATATAAAAATCTTACATATGCTGTAGAAATGTTATAGCAGAGACGCTTGTCGGTTTTAAAACCTTGGCTTATCCATATACATTAAACTGTTATCTTTCCATGCCTATTCTGGCAGTGATAATATTAACTGGTTCAGGCATTTTAGAATGACCAAAATAACATTTTAGAAGTTTTACAATGTAGTCAGCCTGATGGTTTGTCCATTATTGCTGACCATTGCACCCACTTTTATCATCACATAATTTCTAATAACAAAATCCCTTTATTTTTTTTTTAAATGCACACACTGGGATTTATTCGGTATAAGTGTTTCAGTCGAATAAAAATTTATCCTCAGTTATGTGCATACATTTTTTTTTGAATGTGCATTTTCAACTTTATACACATCTTGGGATTTACATCCCAAGCATATTTTAATGCAATAATCCAAAATGTGCATAAAAAATAGGTGGATGAAAACCTAGCTATTGAAATTTGTATTTTTTTTTCATATATATATATATATATATATATATATATATATTTTTTTTTTCAAATTCATGGAATATCAGGGGGTTTTGTTTGTTGCCTTAAAATTTGTTTACATTTATCAGAAATGTTTTTTTTTTACTTTTTTTTTTTTTTTTTTTTATAACCATATTATACTGCTATCCACTTGTTAAGTGTGACATCCTGCGTAGCGGCTTCTGGGTTCAATTGCTCTATCAAACTGAAGGGAAGACTCAATAAATTGTAGTAATAAACGTTTACAAAGTGCTGTAATACTTTCAAAACTCACGATCACTAAATATATATCCATGCCTAATATCAGATGGCCAGAAAGTGATACGTTTTTTATAAATTGTTACAATTTTGGTATTTGTGATGCAGCAAGTCCAGAGACTCTTCTATACACAATCATTTTATATAAAATTCACTTTGATGTGTCATATGACTAAAAGTGCTCATAAACGAAAATTTTCTCAATTCAAATGAGTCGCAGCTTAGACCTGGGAGCAATATTTCATGTTACAACTTAACAAGCGGATGCTTAAACTCTTTTTCAGCTCCATTTTATTCCTTTTCTGCTCATCACCTGGCAATCACTCAAGTCAAATGCAGTCATTGGAGGTACTTGTTAATAAAGGCCTGCTTTTTTGTTTGTTTTTAGACAGGGAATTTGGATTAAAGTGGGAATCCTGAAAGGTATTCCTGTTATTTTCCTGGCCGTGTGACTGATTTCACAAAGGCTTCAGGTACTTTTAACTGTGGACTGGCCTGCGACTCAATACTTGTGTTAGGCCAGCAAAATGGCATCTCAGTTTCGATCGCCACATCACTGGGACCTTTCTGCTGCAAATTTTACATAGTATTGGCACATCTAACTTGGCTATTTCTCCCTTTCGTTAGGTTGAAAGCCAAAATATTGCAGAACAGGGAGTGTCTGCCATTAGCGGGGGGGGAAATCGCGCTCAAAACACTCTTGCATTCATCTCTTATTCAACATTCAGTGCACAATAATGCACACAATAATTGCAGTTCAGCCAATAGGCGTCATGTCTTGAGCCATCATATTGCCTCTGTTTCACAATAATGGCAAGAATTTAGGGTCAAACCTTATCTAACTATTATTTTGTAGTAAAGAAATATTTAAAAATTTCTGATTAATTGCATGCATTCATGCTGACATGTTGTTTGGTTGTTAGGTTGAGGATCCGCTGGATCTGCTCTCTGTGAGTGGGCCGGAGCAGCTGGAGGCTTTGGGTCTGGAGAGGCTGAAGAAGGAGCTGATGGAGAGAGGGATGAAGTGTGGAGGAACACTGCAGGAACGAGCTGCGCGTCTGTTTTCTGTTAAAGGACTGACCCCTGATCAGATTGATCCTTCACTCTTGGCCAAACCCAGCAAGGGCAAGAAGAAATAGCAGTCCAAATCCACTGCTGTGACGAAAAATTGTTTGAGAAATTTATTAGTCATCAATTCTGAGATTTAAAAAATGTATCGCCGTTTAATTTGAGGTTAGTTTTTAACACAGATGGCGCTGTGTGCTTTACAAACACTACTCAAAGCTAAGTTTGGGAAGTTTTTTCCTAGTTTGGGAAGGTTTATGTGGATTTCAAGAGTGTCAATAGTGGGCTGTATTTACGTTAATCTTGTGACAAGAGCCGACTTGCATTACATGCTAAACACTCAAGGGCTCAAAAGTTTTTGAGTGTATAGATAAACTAGCCCAGAGCACTGTCTGCTGTTTTTAAAACTAGCCTAGAGTTCTGTCTGCTAATAAAAACTAGCCTAGAGCACCGTCTGCTAATAAAACTAGCCTAGAATGCCGTCTGTTAATAAAAACTAGCCTATAGAACAACTTGTTAAAAAAAAAAAAAAAAAAACAAGCCTAGAGTGCCGTCTGCTGATTAAAAACTAGCCTAAAGTGTTGTTTGCTGATTTAAAAACCAGGATAGAGTGCCATCTGCTGATTAAAAACTAGTGTAGAGCGCAGTCTGCTGTTAAAACTCAAGGTTAGAATCAGTTCAAGAGCAAATAGGAATGCATTTTGAAAATCACAGAATTGTCAAACCATTATTTTCTGCCTAAGCTCAAATTGTCTTTGCTGATTTGCATATCTTGTTTGGCATGTCCGTAGTTTTTTTTTAAGATGTCTTTTGTAAAACTCAAGCACCTCATTTTGGAAAATCTTTCATTTTGAAAAAAGATGCCCCTCAAGATTTAGTCGTATACAGATGAATCAGGTGTCAGTTTTACTTTGATCCACCACATAGGGCATTTTATCACCACCCTTTTGTCTTTATAGTAAAATGTGTACATTTATAAATGCAAAGCTCGGGCTAACTTTATTTAGTGATGTGTTTGTAGTCATTGTAAATAGCTATTTTAATTCATGCAGATGTCATTTGGTGCGGTCTACAAAGTCATTTAACTTGTTTCTAATCAAGCCAACAAGTTGTTCACATTGCACAGTATTTGATTGTATTATATGATCCTACTTTGTAATGGAGTAAAATAGTAATACAGTTTTTTTTTGTTTGTTTGTTGTTATTATGACTACATATTACTGGTTAAATAATCTTTCTTTAAAAGTGTAAAGAAAGTCGGCTCTGTTTCCTGACTGTAATCTCTACTGACTTCAGACAGCAGCAGAACCTGGATGGGAGACACATGGGAAAGCTAGGTTGCTGCCGGAATTGATATTAGTAAGGCCAATAGGGGGCGCTCAACCTGCAGTCTGTGTGAGTCTTAACGCCCCAGTATATTGATGGGGACTGCTGAGTAATGTCTTTCAGAGACGTTAAACCTGTGGTCGTTAAAAATCGCAGGATGTCCTTCGAAAAAGAGTAGGTGTTTAACCTTGGCATCCTGGCCAAATTTGCCCACTGGCCTCCTAACCATCCCCATATCATACTTTGCTTCATCACTCTGTCTCTCTCTGTGTGGTGTGCGGTCTGGCACAAAATGGCTGCCGTTGCGTCATCCATGGATGCTGCACACTGGTGGTGGATGAGGAGATTCCCTCCAATGTGTAAAGCACTTTGAGTGTCTAGAAAAGTGCTATATAAATGTAAGGAATTATTATTATTATTTTAAGGTGACTCCTTTAAATTTGCCATTGCTATTTATAATAAGATTAGGGTTATCCCAGATCTTCTGCACCTTTAGCTTTAACAGTTTGTTACAAATCTTCAATTATGTCTGACATTCAGTTAAAATAGACTTGCACAAAAGCCAGTGTACAAATGCAAGTGTTTCTTTTTCCTGTTCTGCTCTTGCTTTTCCTAATGTGGAGGAGTGGTGAGGAGCTCATCAATCAAAGAGATCCATTAAACTGTCCTCCCAGATGACTGGAGCTGGTTCTTTCTGCACGGGCCTTGGAGGTGGGCTGCGGGGCATCAGCTTTCGTCCAGTCTGCAATAGACATGATTAGACAAACTTAGTGGCACGTTTGAACTCAATGATACAGTATTTGATGATCAAGACAACAGGAAAAGGTATTTGCTGGCTCTGTACAACACTCACTATAACCACAGGAGGAGCGAGCGCCATCGCCAGCCTTTTCTGTCTTCTGTACTGGCTCCATTCTTCCCGCTTTTGCTTCATCAAAGCTTTTTGCTGAGCAAGTTCCGGTTTAATGTTTTTGTGAAATAGAGAAAACAACAGTGAGATTATCAACAGGCAACTCAATCCTCCATCAAGCAAATGCAATAATGTTTCACTAGAAACAGAAGCACTTTATCGTTAGGTTCGTAAAGAAAAGTGTTTTTAGATCTTACCGGGTCTGGAAGTCTTTAATCATCTGCTCTAGTGTTGTTTCGAACTTGTGGCTTTTAATGAAGTTGCAGGCCTCCAAACACAAGCCTTCCAATTCTTTCTCCTTTGACATCAGCATTGTTGAAGATCCCTCCACAGTCCTTACAGACCTCGGCGATCTTGGTTGTCATAAGCTTGTTCAGGTGAGAGAAAATAAGTGCAGTTGTACAGTCTAGTATTATATTTGGATGAGTGTGAGGGTTCAGCAGCTTCACTTGGGTCACGGTCTGCACTTTGTTTTTCAAGGAAGGGTCCTGTTGCTGCCGCTTTAGTTTTTCAAGCGGCCTCTTTCAAACAGAGCCTCATTCATGCGATAATGGCATAAAAGAATACTCTCTTTCAAGGTCTCTATCTTGCGAGGCAGTGGCGCAGTAGGTAGTGCTGTCGCCTCACAGCAAGAAGGTCGCTGGTTCGAACCTCAGCTCAGTTGGTGTTTCTGTGTGGAGTTTGCATGTTCTCCCTACCTTCGCGTGGGTTTCCTCCGGGTGCTCCGGTTTTCCCCACAGTCCAAAGACATGCGGTACAGGTGAATTGGGTAGGCTAAATTGTCTATAGTGTATGAGTGTGTGTGTGAATGTGTGCGGCTGGAAGGGCATCCGCTGCGAAAAAACTTGCTGGATAATTTGGCGGTTCATTCCGCTGTGGCGACCCCGGATTAATAAAGGGACTAAGCCGACAAGAAAATGATTAAATGTTTGAAGGTCTCTATCTTCCTTACACTGCACAGACACACAAGACAAAAACACAGAGGCTCAAACGCTGCCACTGTGTCTTCCTTGAAGAAATCTGACGAGAAACTTACAGAAACCCCTATTTGATCTCGTCGCTCTTGATGGCCGTGCTTGTGCAGAAATTTCCCTCTCCATTGACTTTAAATCGCAGAGTTTGTCAAAGTTGGTCTCCTGCTTCTCTTCGACAACTTCCTGGATTTTTGGCTCCTCTCTTCTCTCGTTCTCCTCTCTCCAGGCCATTTTCTCTTTAAGAGACATTCTTCTGAAAGAGATCACAGTCACAAATTAAATATCACACCATGAGAAGCAACATCTGCACTTTTAGGATGTGTAGAAACAGGAAAACATCAATTGTGCAGACATATTGGGCTGTTTAATGGCCACAAAAAAGCCATTGTTGTTGTTATTTGTGTGTTTCCTGTGCAATTAAAGTTCTATTTTGCTTTTGGCTCTCAAAATTGTTTTATATTATAAATAAAGAATGAAATGGTTGTTAATAAGAAACATTCAGATATACAATAGAGCAATATGTAATGAAAAAATGTAATGATGTGATGTAAAAGGTCTTAAGTTTGCTGGAGCTGTGGTTGGCGGGAGACTGAAGAGAAGTTTGCACTCGCTAGTGTCATTTTCTCCTGCTTTGTTTTTTTTCTCTTTCAGAAACTATGTAAAATGTAATACCTCTCGTTCTTGTGGCATTGAGTTAATAATAATAAAAAAGGGTCTAACTTAAAGTCCTACTCCCAAACATCAGATGGCAGTAAAGAGCTGCATCTAGCTTCAGCATACATTCACGAAAGAAACCGCTGTGTTTTCATGCAGTTTGTGGGGTAGTTTTGGGGTTTGTTGTAGTGCTGCTGTTTAAAATAAATGACATATTATGTATATAGGCTAATTAGCTCTTCTGCGAAGCTGTGGTAATAGTATCAACATGGCGTTTCCACAGCCGCGTCCGCAAGCGCCTCAGTTGCCGCAGCATCTGTGGAGGACTGTAGACTGTCAGCAGGGTGCAGTGAGAGCAGTCCGATTCAACGGTGAGCAAATGAGGGAAAACTACTTTGAGGAAAAAAGTCTTTGTTTTACAGGGTTCCCACAGCTCATGGCATTGCTGGAGTATCATGAATTTTAATAGGTCTCTTCCAAACAAGTCATGGGTATCAGTGATTCTTGGGTAAAACTTTAGAACAGTGGTCCATTTGTTATTGTATTTACTATTATTAACTAAGCATGAGTAAGCTTGTAAAGTGTTTATTCCTCACACTACAACATTAAATTAAAAATCCAAAGTTGTGCTTGTTATCCTGCACATTAAATAACATGAGTAATGGGGAATTATATTAAGGTGCTACAGATCTTTGTTTGTCATTTTAAAATTTACTTCCCATTTATCAAAAGGTATTTTCTATACACTCTCAGAAATAAAGGTACGCGAGCTGTCACTGAGGTGGTACCTTTTCAAATGGTACACATTTGTACTTAAAGGGTCCATATTGGTACCTCAAAAAAAAAAAAAAAATATATATATATATAAGTACCTACAAATTTTAAAAGGAACATTTTTGTACTTTTTTTTTTTTTGGTACTAATATGTACCCTTGAGGTATTAATATGGAACTTGTAGTTACAAACGTGTACCTTTTGAAAAGGTACCACCCCAGTGACAGCTCGCATACCTTTATTTCTGAGAGTGTACTGTGTTTTTATCACATTGTGTTTATTATATTGTTATGGTTAGGCTTAGGGCTGCACTGTATATAGTTTCAGCATTGATCTCGCAATGTGCAAATTTGCAATGTTGAGTTGGGATTATATATATTTTTTAAAGATTTATTTTTTGCTTTCGTTAAGTAGATATGACGGTGTTATAGACAGGAAGTGAAGTGGTAAAGTGACAGGGGGTAGAGATGGGAATTGTCCTCAAGCTGGGATTTGAACTCGGGACGTCCTGATGTGCTACTGCACCATATGTCAGTGGGCTAACCACTAGTCTATTACGCTGACAGTTGGGATTATAATTTAAACCATTTGGGAAATTATCAGATGTGTAGCTTTAACAATGATTAATTGCATTTATTTATACAATAAAGACGGTAGTCAACATTAGAAGTGGATCAAAAAAAAAGTTGATCAAAGAGTTAGATTGAGTGTTGTTGAATAGTTTTAGCACAACTTTTTGTGGTGGTTTTGATCCACTTTATTAAGTGGATTTTGTTCATAATTGCATGTTATTTTACATTTGATTATTTTAATGTACCTCAATACTGTTAAAGTCTTTAGAAAAAAGTAAATCACTCCATTAGGGCTCTGCGATTAATCAAAATTAAATCGCAATCGCAATATGAAGCGTTGTGATTAGTAAATTGCAAGAGGCTGTGATTTATAAAAGAGCAATTCCAGCGTTATGGATTTGACATTTGACATGGATTTTTTATATTTTTAATGAAGAAAACAAACTTGCGTTATAGATGTGACCAAAAAAAAACATCCGAGTTTATAGTATATAACATACTTTGTAGAGGTCCTGCGAATTAATCTGCACAACCCAAAAGTAATGCTGCTAATCAAAAGGATAACAGTTGGCTCACATAGAACAAACCTGATTGATTTTATTTTATTTGACATTTTTGTGTGTTTATGTGGGAAAAGCTTTGTTATAGATGTGACATCTCTCTGTTATGGATGTCTCCGATGTGAAATTGCCACTTGTGTGATTTTGCTAAATTAAATACGTTTGTTTAAAAACATTGACGGAGGCGTTTTTGACTGTTTTTACAGTATTGTAAATACAAGTCTACTCAAACATCCTAGAAAGGGTTTAGTTATTTTGGTGAAAACTTTATTTTGTTCAGGGCAAGGTTGACATTTGCATGGAATTTTTCAAAAAATATATAGTTGAAGTCAGAATTATTAGCCCTTGTTTGATTTTTTTTCTTTCTTTTTAAATATTTTACAAAACATGTTTATCAGAGCAAGGAAATTTT